CACTTAACTCAATGATACATACTTCTACTTTGGAATGATACTTCATCTGCAAACACCAGATCCTTGAAGTCAACCAATCTCATAAATGCCAAGAACTCGAGGTAGTAATGCATGTTGTCCTCCCTGTACTTGTGAATTTGTTTGACTTCTGGTCGTTTCCAAGACCAACGCCAACTTCTGAATATCCTCTCAATGTGATCATTGGTGATACCATCAAGAGCTGGATTCAGCTTCACAAGTTCACGTCGTATATCCGATATATTGTACTGAGGGTTCTCGACAATGATTGCCCATACTGTCAACTCGAGAAACAATTGTCCATCCTTTCCAAACTTGCTGTGTCTGTATCCTCCATGACCTAGAGGGTGGAAGGTCGGATCAGATAGTTTTGTTAAATAGTAATTCACATCAATACCTGTAAGTCGTCTGATCCTGTTCTTGGTGAAATCGCTTTCAAAATAGAGTTTGAGTGCACTTTCTATTCGTTTATCTTTATCTGTCATATCTTACACCTGTTAATGAATGAATGAATGATCGCCCAAAGTCTAACTGACTTCCCAAACAAATAATAAAAAAGGTACCTTTTGGTTTGTGGGGGTACTTAGGCAAAAAGATTAGCTTGGCACCAACTGACTCCACTGTCTGATACAGCTCGTGGAGATATGCGCCACCATGAATTGATCAAAACTAACGACACCCTATTCATCATTCCTACCCGACAGTTTTACAAGGTCTATCACTACTAATATATTATATATAAATATTAAAGAGATAAATAAGATATTGGAACAACAAGATGATGAAAGGATTATCACTTATTGACAAACTACTACCAGTTTGGATACTTTTATTCATGGTGGCAGGTATCCTTATTGGATATTATGTGCCAGCGGTTGAGGAAGCATTCTCCAAGTCTACATTGGCAAGTGTATCCTTACCGATAGCAGTCGGACTGCTACTCATGATGTATCCAGTGTTCTGTCGTATCCAATACGAGAAATTGATGCGACAGGTCTTGTTCAAGGATCGCAAGTTCATGTTGCATCAGGTGGGCGTGTCGCTCTTGGTCAACTGGTTGATCGCGCCCTTGATAATGGTAGCCATCGCATGGGCTACCTTGCCCGATCTCATGCACTATCGTAGTGGTGTCATCCTCGTTGGAGTGGCGCGCTGCATTGCAATGGTGCTCATCTGGAACCGTCTCGCACATGGCAACGAAGAGTTCTGTGCACTGATCGTGGCCGTCAACTCCATCCTTCAGATGCTACTCTACGGCCCACTCAGCTACTTCTATGTGATCATACTGGGTCGTGGTGACAACCTGGATATCAATATGTGGACGGTAGTTCGCAGCGTGCTCATTTACATGGGCATCCCCCTGGCAGCCGGCTTCCTCACACGTCTCGCCCTCAAGCGCTATTCATGGTACGAGAAGTACTACCTGCCAATCGTTGGTCGCATGTCCCTGTTGGCACTGCTCTACGTCATCATTGTGATGTTCGCGTTCCAAGGCCGACAGATCATCGAGAACATTGGCGAGGTGGTCCGAACTTCCGTACCCCTACTCATCTACTTCATGGTCATGTTCACCTCGCTCTTTGTATACTGCTACAAGACTGGTGTGCCCTACGATATTGCGGTTCCACAGTCCTTCACCGCCGCATCCAACAACTTTGAGCTAGCCATCGCCGTCGCAGTCAGCACCTACGGCATCCAGTCCAAGGAGGCATTGGCTGCCACTATCGGACCTTTGATTGAGGTGCCAGTGCTCGTGGCCTTGGTCTACGTGTCATTGTTCATTGGCAAGAGGTGGTTCAATCTCGAGTCCAAGTCATCGACCACAGACAATGGCAATCAAATGGAGGCTACCAATCAACTCAAGTCAGAGACCGAGGAAGTCGTCGAAGAGCAAGATGGTGCCAAGCAAAAGAACAAGTGTTGCGCTGATGGCCAAGATTGCTCTGTAATCACACCTCAGTGTCTCCCCAAGGAGCAACAAGAGACAGACCCACAAGAGTGTGCCAAGGAGACAAAGAAGAAGACAGTGATCTTTGCCTGCGTGCACAATGCAGGACGATCACAGATGGCCGCCACATTCTTCAACATCCACAATCGCCATTCCAGTATGGCTGGACTGTCAGCCGGTACTAATCCAGCGGATCACGTACATCCTGTGGTCATGTCCACCATGTCTGAACGTGGAATTGACCTCTCAACCAATGTGCCACAGAAGTTGACCAGAGAGCTTGCATCACAAGCCTGTATGATTGTCACAATGGGCTGTGGCGAGCAATGTCCCTATGTTCCAGGCGTCAAGATTGTCGATTGGGGCATTGAAGATCCAAAGAACAAGCCAGAGGATCAAGTCAGATTGATTCGCGATGACATCGAGCAACGCATCAAGGAGTTCGTCCAGAATGAGTGCTGTTGAACTCACAATTAAACAACATATAACCATGCTGTGATGTGACAATCCATGACACAGTCGAGCATGGTTATATCAACATCCTTCCCTTCCAACCCTTTAACCTCCAATGGAAGCCACTCCATTGACACTTGAACCTTGATCAATCACTATTATATATTAAGTATCAATCCTTGAAGGTTTATATAGTATCCAGGCGGGTTGAGACCTGGTTCAATCAATCAGTCAATCGATCGTACGACACGCTACTGTGATGTTTGTCAGCTCGGTTATCCATATCTAATGTGAGAATGGATGGACGAGGTCGCAATTAGTCAACGTTCATGTTCCAATTAGTGATGGTTTGGAGAAAAGGAGAGAGAGAGAGAGGAGATATGGATATTAGGGTCGATCGAATGACTTCTCCTCGAAATCGGGCGCCTGTATACCTAGGTTGACTTGCTCAATCTCGCCACGGACATAGCTAAAGGCAAAGGTCATTATTGCTATGATGAGGTAGCCAGCCGCCCATTGGTAGGGCAGTGTTGAGCCACTCTGCCACGGCACGTAAACCTCGCCATTGGGATTGACACTGTGGATGATGCCAAAGAATGTGAGCACGGCCGTGATGCCCAGGAAGAGCGCAGCCTGCTTTAGCTTGTTATCAAGTACATAGGCCAGCGATGTGCCCCAGAACAGACTGGTGCAGATGAAGCCGTGCGCCAGCACCACGATCACACCGATCGTTTGAACTGATGCCTCGGATATGTTGAAGGTCTTCTCGACCAATACTGGGTCGGTGACGGCGAATGAAAGTACGGGCGATACTTGTGAGAGGATGATGTTTACAAACTGGAAGAGTGCTGGGAAGAAGGCAAAGATGATGGCTGGCGCATGATGTTGTTTGATGCCATTGGGAGTCGGTGGATGGAATGTGGCCGAACAGATCTCAAAGGCAATGAAGATGAAGATTGGGATGATGGCAGGCTTTGGCAGAATGTTGGTGAGGAATGAGATGTAGCCCAAGAAGCCGCCCAGGCCGATGAGCAGGCCGGTGATCATCGAGTAGCCAGACCTGGCCTTGAACTTTTGTTGGAAGACCGAGTGTCCAATGTATGGTGTTGTCTGAGTGGTCGAGCCAAAGAAACTCGAGATGATAGTGCACACGGCGTCGAGGAACAGAACAACGCGAGTGTTGTACTCGTTACCGACTGAGACAGCGGCGTCCGTCACTGTGAGGCCTCCAATGTTGACCAGAATGGCGTAGGGCAGCGCGATGGAGATGTTCTGTTTGATAGCCGTGACAAAGCTGGAGAAGATGTCGGCGGGATGTGGGTAACTCAATAGGTAGTTGGACAGCACGCCGGTGGGCATTGGCACCACCGATATCTTGGCGGCCGCCATGATGTAGTACACTGTCGAGCCGATCACAGCGCTGACCAGCACACCTGACAGATTGAATGGCAGGTTGATGTTGATGATCTGGTGCTCCTGGTTGACGCGCTGCAACAATATCAGGAATATGAGCCATAGAGAGATCCAGCCAGCCACAGGCTCGACGAGGATCGTTAGAAGCTCGTTAAGTCCAAGAAGCGATAGACCAATGCCAGCCAACGCGGCCGACTTGCCCACGGGATGGAAGTAGCGCTGAGCGAAACTGACAACGGTCAGCAGAAGCTTGAACATGCCAATCAGGAAGACTGTGGTGCAGCCGACGAGCCACGCGTCGATTGTGGCGTCGTAGTCTGAGCGGCCGGCCGCCTTGGACTTGACAAAGGCGGGACCGACCACAAGCAGCTGCAGGCCGATCGTGGACGGCGCGTCCAGGCCCATTGGAATGGCTGTGTATAGTACGCGGTCCTCCACGTTCTTGTGATCCAGGTAGATGGCATAGAGTGACAGTGAGATGCTGCCCAGCATGACGCCCAGTGCTGGGCCGGGTATGAAGAAGAGTGCCACAGTTTCCGATGGCATGCCAAAGTTGTACACGAGAATGGCGTACATTGACGCGATGTTTGCCAAGTTATCCAGCAGCACTGAGAACATTGCATTGATATCGCCAGATGTTGGCATCAGCTGGTTCTTGAGTGTGTCTGACCATGTCTTTGTTGGACGGTCGATCAAACCTATGTCCGAAGACTTCATTCGTTGATACATCATTGTTGATGTTTATGTTGGTGTTGTGTGATGTCTGAGCTAAGTGAGTGATGTCCACTATGTGTAACTATCTTGAGGGTATGCTCTACACTTGTTTGCTTTGACCTACGTTTGGTATTGATGTTTGTTCAGGTTGTTCAATTGGTTCGAGGACGATCATATCATGTCGGTAAGGTAGAGATCTTTGTTAGAATATGAATATATGTATATATATATATATATGTATTATAATGATGGTGATGTTAATGAATGCATACCTTTAAGAAGTAATGGGGGCAGAATGACCTCTCCTCTCTCTGACTTGCTGGTGATTGATCACTCTTGAAGTGTGTGTATGTGTGTGAATGAATGTGCGTCAGTTGGTGAGATTGAACGAAGAGGTTTGTGGGAGTGAGTTGAAAAGATAAGATTGAGGACCAACTCAATTAAAGAATGAATAATAATTTAATTAAACAATAAATAATAGTCAAGTCTTCTTTAATCGAGTAACTTCTTCTGTCCCTTCTATTTAGGATGTGTGTATCTGTTAAAGTCAAGACATACCAACAACAATCGTAATGTTTTGGGGATGGGCTGAGGTGTTGGGCAATAACAATCCAGCTTGACAAAATATCTGGGTCATTTTCGATTAATCAATGATCTTATGAATGACCTGGTGAGGTCTTTGACGACTAGTCTATGATTCAATCATTCGTTCGTCTTCCTTCCATTCAATTTCAACCAATAACAATCAAATAGAAGAACTTATTATGTTCGGTTCGATATGCAAGTCAAAGACCAGGCCAACACAACCTTTCACACCTGGTAAACAATCTAATTGATTGATTCATTGATTGATTGATTGACTGGACTGATGGAGTTGAGAGAGTGACAGAGAGATAACAAATCAATCACTACTTCACAAACATACACGCACAAACAACTATTATCTTTATCTTTGTTTGCTGTGTTGTGAGTGGGTGGACACAGACTTGTGCTTCATGTCATTGAGTGTGAGTGAGCGAATGAGTTGGTGGGTGGGTTGGTTTGGAGATGCCGAGAACAACAAGGCATTAACACAAACAACCCTGGTTTGCCTTTGTTTGGTCATCGCAAGTCGGTGTGAAGCTCACTCACTCACTCCTTATTATCTCTATAATCTCATAAGCAATACATACATTATCATTTTAACAAGATATTTATTTATTATATATAGTTAGTTATTATTATATTTATAACAACGATGAACAAACTAATATTCATTGGAAACTTTGTGAATGATACTATTGTCAATCATAAGGACTTGAGTATCAGTCGTGAACAATCATTCCACGATCTACTAAAGTCTTGTGAGACATCAAGAGAGTTGAATAATACAAATGTGGAGAGAAATACTGCACTTGGTGGAAGTGTAACATATGGTTCATTGGCTTCAGCAGCATTCGGTGGCACAACAAGTTATATAGTGACCAATCTTGGCACAGACATTGACGATCAATACAACAGACTCATTTGTAATGACTCTCAACGTGGATGTATCTCAACTCAATACGTGGCACCATCCGCCACGCCAAACACAGCCTATCAACTCAACTATTACAACAACAAAAAGAATAGAACACTGTTGTTGATGGAGAAGGGCAAGCGTATCGACTCGGCTCAGTGCATGCAATGTCTTCGCGAGCAACAGCCCGACGCAGTATTCTTTGTGCCCGTGGCCGATGAGATTGACACTGACCTGATCATGGACGTCCTCGATGGCATGAAGTCACTCAAGACCAAGCCAATCATCGCCTTTGACATTCAAGGCCTGCTGAGGACATTTGTCGGTACAAAGGTCACCACTCGACCAAAGGACGTCATGATCGAACGTCTCAAGCTCATTGGCAACAAGCTCAACGCAGATGGCTTCGTCTCAATTCTCAAGTCCGAGTATGGTGAGGCCGTGGCCATCGTTGGAGATGGACACACCGACCCAGCTACATGCTCCAAGCTGATAAGGACCGAGTTTGGATTCACATTCTCCAGCGTGACCATGGGTGGCGACGGTGGATTCATCTCGTCCAGCACAACAGGCGAGGTGTACATCCCCACGTTCAAGCCAGAGGTCGTCAAGGATGAAACAGGCTGCGGCGATACATTCCTCACATGTACTATACTGGAACTGTTGACAACATTGTCAAACAAGAAGAAGATGACTGGAACTCAGAACAACGCAAGCGTAGCCAATGATTCAGCGCCACCAGTGTCAGCGGAAGATGATGTGTTGGGCGCACTAGGTCTGACACGCGACGAAATCATTCACTGCATTGAGGTTGGCAGCGCAGGTGCTTCATTCCTGGTCGAACAGATTGGTCCCAATGGATTTGCCAACAGAGATAGGATAATCGATCGAGTCACCAATGGACAGCGACAGGCCAAGTCCACCTACCTCCAATTCAACAGTCCGGATCAATCAGCGCGTCCATCCAAGCCACCCAAGTCAACAACGCACTACTGATGATCAGTGCCATCAACCTTATCCAGCCATTAAATAATGTGTACATTTACATCAATCAGAGATACTTTAGTTGAACTGGATATCAGGGTCAATGGACCCTGGACCTCCAATTATTATGTGTCGTTGTTTATTACAAATGAGTGTACAAAAGAGTGATCGATCACTTGTGGCAGTCGGCTATCTCTTCTCGACCTTCACTTGGAAGGGTGTAGGAACAAATGCCAGTCCAAACAACATGTCCTCATTCATCATCTCCTCAGTAGTTCTAACAAACTTGAACTTCTTAAAGAGTATCGATGTCAACAGGAACAACTCTTGCTCGGCCAATGCTGCTCCCAGACAATTACGAGGACCAACACCGAATATATATCTTACAATCTTGTTGTTTGGATTGTCCTCTCCCATGAATCGATTGGGATCGAACTCCTCTGGGTCTTGCCAAACGTTTGGCGACATGAAAGTACTGTAGATGTTCAAGAATATCTGAGTCTGAGGAGAGATAGAGTTGTGTTAGTGAGTGAGCGCGAGGGAGAGAGAGAGAGAGGGAGGGATGGATGGGGACACACTTACTCCTTTCTTAATGTGATAACCTCTGAACTCACAGTCCTCGGTGGCGGCATGAGGTACGCCGAGTGGGGCAGTTGGGTATCTTCGGATGGTCTCCTTGATGATGGCGTTGGTCAATTGGGTACTGTTCTTGTGAGCGATGGTTGGCTCACCTGTGATGGTGGAAAGTTCACAATACATTAACTCTTGATACTTTGGTCTGTTGGCCATTGCCTTGATCAATGCTGATACAGTGTTGGCTGAACTGTCTGTGCCGGCGGCGACCAGATCGGCAAAGGAGTAGACAATGCCATCGAGTGGGATGGTGCCATTGAAGTACTCTTGAAGGTAGTGGTCGAGGATGTCCTTGGGCTCTTCATCGGGGTTGAATGTCTTGAGACGGATGGTGATGATGGACTCGATGTACTTGCACACCTTGATGTTGGTGTCGATGTAGTCGTTCATCAGATCGGACCGGGATCTTCGGAATCGCTTCATCAGGGGGATGAAGTCGTCGGGTATCTTGGCGCCGGCCAGATGGAAGCAGTGATTGATCAGGTGGACGATCTCACCGGCTTCGCCATTGAGGTCGTAAGAGAAGTGATGGCTGAACAGGAAGCGGAAGATGATATTCAACGAACAGATCTTTACAAGATTGATCGGGTCGAATGCCTCACCAGACTTGGCAAATCTCTCGAACTGATCACACAACAAGTTGATCTCTTCTGATATATCCTCCTCCATCTTCTTTATCTTTGTATTAGATATTCCCATCATTGCAATGGACTTTACATGTTTATGATATGCACCATTAGCATTCACAATGTTCCTTCCATCTTTGTTTATGTTTGATTGGTCAGTGTGTTAGTGTGAGTGTGTGCGATTGATTGATTGGAATAATTCCATCAATGATACATACAGTTCCAGAGCATCCTACTCTCCCTTTGGTATCGATCGACAAACATTGTGGGGTTGTCAACAAAGGCCTCGTGGAGTGTGGCGGGTTCAGTGAGGACGACGGTTTCGACAGCGCCCATTCTCAGTCTGAATACATTGCCATACTTTTGATACATCTTGTAGAGTGCCAAGTGTGGTTTGTTGCCAAGTGAATGTAGATTACCAATTAACGGCAATGGTAGTGGACCTGGTGGGTGACGTCTTGCAGGGTTCTTCATTGTTAATGTGTGAGTGAGTATGGGGTGATTGATCAATGTTAGTTTATCTGTGTGTTGATGTTCAATTCCATCATGATGGAATATCTAGATCAATCAAGTATTTACCTTCTCATTGAATATATAAAGGGCTATTAATATTGCCCAAAGTATTAGTATGTACATTGTTATAATATGATTAAATAAGTATAATAATAATAATAGTAGTAGTACAAATAAGTAATGTTATAATTTATATAAATAATAATAAATAAAGTAGTAGTGCTGTTGTTATATATAATATTGATGATTATGTTGTTTTAATTGGAAAGTGAAGTTGCAATGATGACCTTGAATGACTTTGGGCTTGATGTCCATGGACATCAATTAGGTGGAGGTGGAAGGAGGAAGGAGGGGGATGGACAGAGGGTCTGGATGGTTGGGAGATTGAACAGGTGTTGTGGTGGAAGGTTGATTGACTGAATGATGGATGGATGCGCGATAGTGGGGGAGTAAGGTGAACTTGTAAACTTACAACAAACCTGTTAACTAGCTATTATTTGTGATTTACTCGTAATAACAATGGATGATGGTGATGGATTGATAGATAGATAGATGGTGTACGCTGAGTCAGGTGCTGGTAGCGGGGAGAGTCGGCATTGGGGGAGCTGGTCTAGATGGTCTAGTATGGTATCGTTTGTGTCCTATGATCCGCTCACACAGACCATTCATTGTGTTTGATTGCTTGATTATGTTTGATTGATTGATTGATTGGTGATTGGTTTTGTTGCTTGATGAAGTAGGAAGTGGCGTGGAAAGAGGAAGTGGAGGTGTGAGCTCCTGGACCAATGCAGTTGACACCGGTGTCAATCTGGTTGCGATCAGATCGCCGCGAGCAATGAGTGCGTGAGGTGTAGGGGAGGTGTTCGCAACGGTACCTTATAAAATATCTATATTGTTGTTGTTGTGCGCCTCAACAAGGTTGGTGGCGTCGCATCGTTGTTTGTTGTTTGTTTGTTTGTTGAGGGGTTGACCAATTGAAGTGGACAACACTACCACCATCATTGTGAGTGTGGATTGGTGATTGGATGAATGGAGTTGCGGGCAAGACAACTAACTACTAAAAGAGATTGACACGCGTGTGGTGATGAAGGTCAGCTGAATGAATGTGTGTTGACGTGTGTAAGTATGTCTTGGTAGCAAGGCCATTAACTGTGATGTATCGCGATGGTGATGCTGGGTTCAGTCCTTCTTTCATTCATTCTCGCTGGCGTATCAAACCAAGTACTTAACGGTTAATTAATAATAATGAGTGGGGGTGGAGGGAGACTGTCAAAGCAACTTCGCACATCTGTCATGAGGGTGGCGGGCCTTACCTTGAGCCCAATTGTAGGTTACCCTATCTGGAGTTGTTGAAGTGTTGGGGGGTAACATTTATGTGGCGATCTGTCGACCAGCTGACATCTTGGGAACATGTTCTTATTGTTTTTTTGTTTGCAAAAAAAGCACTTCACATTCATTAATCCAATCAAAATCAAACAAATCGATTTGATGATTGAATGATTGTACAACATACCTTATTCCATTTAGAATTCCATCATCACCAAAATGTTAAATCGGTGCTCTTAACTTGTTCATCGGAACTGTTTATTATTCTTGATGTTCATTCATCAATGAAAATATCTATCTTATATTGTAGACATAACTATATTTACTTGGTTTCTCAGTCTCTGTTGTTTATCTTAGTCTGTGTCTTTACTTACTTTAATATAAAGATTGATGTTTTTAGTTATAAGTTATATCAATTTAACATTGAAAGAGAGATAGATTGATGGACGATTAAATAACCTGGTCCAAAGATAATTGGGAACTCTAAAAAGAGAGATATTATTATCTCTTTTGTTATTATTATCTCTTTGTTTTTTATGACAACAACTTGAAAAACCCCACACACATCGCAAAACAGATCTTTTGTCATTCTTGGAACCCTTCAGTTTTGAAACTAAACTTCCTGTCATTCAATTCAGTTTGGTGTCGATCAGGCAAAAAGAAACAAACAAACATTATTCAAATACATACATACATACAATATATATATAAACGCGTCAAACAAACAGAAATGCCACCAAAGAGAAAAGCATTGTTATTGGATGAGAGTGATTCTGCAAACGCTTCAGCATCACATACAGCAGACACAACTAGTACTACAACGACTACGACTTCAACTTCCACATCATCAATATCATCAACATCATCAACATCATCGACAATAGCAAAGGCTGATTCTATTATATCATCATCAGCGGCAGACCTATGCACATGTACATTCTGGTCCTGGAAACAATCAGAGATTGATTGGCCACTGTTCTCCGTGCCCGACTGTGAACTGATCGAGACCGCCTACGCCAAAGACCCAAAGAGTTCCACCGAACAGAAGTTATCCGATCAAATCTATGTCAATTTCCTCGGTATGATTGATTGATTGAATGAATCAATGATCATTCATTGACTAACATTGGTACGCGCGCCATCAATCACTTAGACAACACATATCACAAGGGTGATTCAGATAAGAAGACATTGAAGAGATGCGAGATGGGCTTGGTATGGTCTTGGGAGAAGTCAAGAGGAGAGTTCTACGCATTTGATAATACTATTTCAAAGAAGATTGAGATTGCTCATAAGAAGGGACAGTCTAAAGTCAGCATCGACACTGATCGTTTCATCAACCTGTCCTCTTTTGAACAGGTTCGTTTTGATGATGAATCAAAGACACGTCGTGTCACCCGATCATATTGTGACATGACCAAACTCCAATCACCATCATGGTTTGCTGAAGACAATGGTGCATGGTCATTGATGGCGGACAGTGCAGATATCGAGACAAGTAAGTAGCTTACACGTTGATGGATTGGAATGGCATGGTATGGACGATAAACTAACAACGACGACAGAGTACCAATACTTCTTGAAACATGGAAAGAACGTGGCGCATGAGGTCGACTCTGGAAAGATAAGATTCAATTTGATGACAAAGGAGGAGAATGGCAAATCAGTCAGGGTCAAGCGTGATAATGGTCCAGCTTCAGCGTTGAAGAAGACTTATTCTCAGCTGTCAGAGGAGGAGAAGAAAGAGTTGATCACACAGATGTTGTCGGGAGGCGTGAGCGATGCCAACAAGACAGCCGCGTCCAACAAGAAGTTAAAGACAGACAGTGGCGCATCGAGCAAGAGTGGTGGCAGCAGCTCAGGTGGTCTATTCCTGCCCGGTGAGGAGGATATCATTGAAGGCGACAAGCCAATGAAGTATATACTGAAGCCCGCCAGACACTTTGACAACTCGATCGCCGACCTTCACTTTAGGACGGCCGAGTCGCAGTTCTACCGTCTGCTGGACTCGACCACCAGCTACAAGGTCAGCAAGGTGGAGTACATCGTCAACCCCAAGCTGCTCAAGAACTTTGACAAGAAGAAGGAGGAGTTTGTCAAGGCCAACTATCCCGACTGCCACCCCGTGTTTGGTTTCCACGGCACGGCCTCCAAGAACATCCTGTCGATCTGCAGCAACAACTTCTCTGTGCCAGGCAGCAACGGTGTCAAGCACGCCACAGACAGTGGATGGTATGGCAAAGGAATCTACTTTAGTGAGTTCCCCGAGTACAGTATTGGATACATCTCTGATTGCTCAAAGATCCTGCTATGCAAGGTGCTCCTGGGCAAGTCATACAAGTGTTCAGGTCTGATCACAGGACAGCCATGTCAAACTGGATATACATCACATGTAAGTTGATCACGCTCAATCATACTCAATCAATCAAACATACTAACTTGATCATTCATTCAAATAGTTGTCACCTGATGAGAAGGAGTTGGTCATCTTCCATCCTGATCAGATCTTGCCAGCCTACATCGTACATTACACAAACGAGAATGCCACAACAAACGATGGCTCATCTGAATATTGGAATGTCAACCTGTTAGGTTCGACTAACAGTATGTACACTACATCATGTGGACCAAGCTTGCTCACTCACTAACTCCTCAATCACTTTAGACTTGCATGGAGTAAAGATATGCCTGTCTGGTAATCTTGCAGCCAATCATACAACTATGCATTCATTGATCTCAAAGCATGGTGGAAGTTATGCTAGTAGTGTAGTGGCAGGTGTCACCCATGTCGTCACAACACATACAGACTATGTTAATAGGACCGCAAAGGTATCATCGGCCGAAGGCAGTAACATTCCAGTGGTCAATCAGAAGTGGCTGTACGACTCTATTAAGGGCGGACTGCAATCAACGTCAGACTACTCATTCGCACTGAAGCAGGCCACAAAGAAGCAGGAGATCAAGGCTGTGCCACTGGAGATTGACGACCTTGCCGCAGCGGCATCACTGGCTTCCAATGGTGCCACTTTGGACGCTGCACCCGCCAAGCCCATGTGCAAGTATGGTGCCACATGCTACAGAAAGAACGCTCAACACTTCAAAGACTTCTCACATCCATTCATTCTGGACTGATCATTATCGTTCACTTCCAGTGTCATGTCATCATTATATGATTGTAACTTATATATATCTTCATGTCCAATAAAGCAATCGTTTGATTGTTCGTATCCATTGACATGAGACCAATCTTCAATATGTGTGTAGCCAGCCATCAGTTGCGACTTCCAGGACCATGGTCCCAGGCAAAAGACTGAGATGATCAAAAAGCAAGTTCAACTTGAACTTTGTTATTACATCTTTTGAATATACTTATACATATACATATATTTACAAAAACAACATTGAGTAATGATGCAGAGCTCAATGCAAGGTATACCAACGGGTGAGGATGTGTTGCCTGCTTCATCAACATGGCGCAAACATGCACTCAACACAGGTCGCAGGTATCCCTCCAAGCAGATCAACTTTGTCACTCTAGACGATCGCTCAATCGAGAACATCTCAGTAGCAACAGCACACAATGTAAGAGGGAGGAGTCTGTTACTTCGACATGATGGCAACATCATCATCTCACTCATTCATTCGATCAATTAGAAATCAAGTCAAATGGTTATATGCGATACAACATCAAGAAAGGATTGTACAAGGATTGTGAAGTTGAACAAGGGCAATAAGCCAACGGATAAGACAACGTTGTCTGTTGTACGTGACTTTATACAGGAGGGCCCAATACGCTCGGTTGATTGGCTCGACAGGGCACTGCTGCTGGGCAGCGCAAATGATGGACAGATATTCATGTACGACTGCTCAGAGAGCGATGTGTCTGATCCAGTGCTGCAAGAGACATACACAATCACGCGACTCAAGGGTGTCAAGGACATCACGTACCCCGTCGGTGCGATGGGCGTCGACACATCTATCAAAGCAGTCAGCGTCAACAAGCTGGCCTCGGAGCAGACATTTGGCTGTCTCGAGAACAACGCCTTTCACATTTGGGAGTTCAAGAACCCTGTGCAGCCCATCGTGTCATTCAGAGCATCAGAGATGCCCCTCAACACCCTGGCCTGGTCACCGCACTCACGTCACTATGCAGCGGTGGGCGGTGCTGGCGCCACCAGCCTAATGCTGCTCGATCAGCGACAGATGAGCATGTACGGGGCCAAGCGCAACCCTATCGTGTGGCAGCGCAGCACCAGCCCTGGCGAGCGCCACGGCACTTGCCAATCAATCAGTTGGCATCCATTCGTACCTTACTGGATGGCGACCGCCACCGATGGCGGACTGATCCAGTTGTGGGATCTGCGATCGACGCCCACGCCCGTCGTCTCATTCGTCGGCCACAACGGACCCGTGTCCAACATTGAATGGTGTCCATCACACAGTGAACTGCTGGTCAGTGCCAGCTATGACAACACTTACAAGCTGTGGAACATGGCCATGGAGCCACACTACCTACTCTTCGAGAAGGACGACAGTGCACCATATGTCCACTCTGGCTTCTTTGAAGACGACAGCTACAACAGCTTCAGTTGCAACCGACTTGGTCAAGTACTCTACTCACAGATATCGCCCAAGTACATGAACAAGAAGATACACTCAAAGTATGTAATTGATCAACTATAGTTCAAGCCAGTACTCGACTGACCGACACCAACTCAATCAGGTTCGATGAGGACGACCTCGCAGAGAAGAGAGTGGAGAGTTTGATCTATAATAGAGACTTTACAAGTGGATTCGAGAAGGCGATTGTGTTGGCAAACAAGCATTCGCGACAAAACAACATTGACAAGGCGCACACATTACTCATGTTGTGCTTCCAAATGAACATTGAAGACAGTCTGTCCAGTGTGATCAAGTCGACGGCGCCACGAGATGACATGAGGAAGGAGTTCAAGAAGAACATGGAGGCATTCTCATACTTCATCCCTCCATCATACTATGAGAGGTTTGGAACAAAGGTTGGTAAAGGATTGGAATGGATTGGATCATTAGACTGGACTGGAATGACTAACATTCAATCAATCAATCAATCAAACATAGTTGTCAACCAATCTGATGACAAAGATCAAGGAGTTGAAGATAAACTTGGACATTCTGCGACATATTAAGAACTGTAGTGGAGAGGAGATTGTGGAGATTGAGAGGGAGATTGTATCAACATTGAAGGCCGATCACCTGAGTATAAGGACAGAGACCATCGCTGACTTGGTGACAGTGTTCCTCAATCACGACCCAACCAAGTGTTACAGCTTTGTCATTCAGTTGGTGGAGATCTTCAAGAACAAACTGCCATTGATCATGCCAATTATCAGATTGCTCATATATCCAAATATATTTGAGAAGAATCCACTACATGTGTCTAGCACATCCAGTCCGGCACTGGGATCCGGCGGCGACAAGGATGGTTTGAACACTTCGGGCAGCACACTACAGATGCCGTCCAAGTCAGCTGGAGCATCACCAGCACCTACAACAAAGAATCAACAGCCTCCACCTGGCACACCAACCTCATCAAGACTGAACAGATCGTCTGTGGCCCTACCCAAGGACGCAGCAGAGATTGAAGAGGCCAAGTTGAATGAATACCTTGGCACGCCAGAGGCAATCATTCAACAATTGACCTTCATGAGGTATGTAGTTTATTGTACATGAAGTAGCCAACAGACTAATGGTCACTAACATCCTTCATCCATGATCACACACTGACACAGGGGATACTCAAAGATCTTGGCATCACCTACACCTGTCGGTGATGGATCCAATCCAGACTTTGAGGACATCATTGACTTCTCATCAAAGAATAGACCTGCCATCATCCTATCCTCATCCATCAACAGGATGTATCTCTCACTCCTCGCCGAGTCACTAATTTACGATCAGTTGTTCATTGTACTTCTAAATCTACGAAGTGTAAGTATAGCCATGGCGGCCCAATAACCGCAGATCATTCACTCACCAATATCATGATTACAATAGGTTACCGAAGGCTTTGAGTTCAATGAACCATTGACAGAGCTTTACGAAGCATTCACTCCAGACTTTTTGTCATTCATCAAGAACAGCCAACAGAGGGACAAGAGCAAGCTTTGGGACTCTGAACGATATTCGATACCATTGTTGACGGCAATATCCATCCTGCACAATGTGCCAGTGACTGCCATCCCCAAGGACTTTTATGATACACTGACCGAATCGATACCAGTTTTTATCGAGGAGTTGGACAACTCGTTCCTGTCGATGTTGCAGCAGCCCGATCCATCTGTTCCTCTGCCTGGCAAGATTCAGGCGCAACAAAAGTCAAAGGGTCTATTCGAAGCGGTCAAGTCCATCACAGACAAACATACACAACAATCAAAGCGAGCCAAGACTGCATCAATCACCGTGTCGCCACAGACTGCCAAAGCCAACATGGATCTTCAGGGATACGTCCAAAGCTTGAACACTACATTAAACAAATACTTGTAATCATCATCATCCACATGACAAGCTCGGGATCACATGCTCTAACAGTCACCAATCCAGTTGCTCAAATCAGCCATTTGTCACATCAATGACGCATTCCAAGGTTATCTGTTGATTGGGTCGGCAGAGGCAGTCATCAGTTCAATCGAGCTACAACTTGTTCGTAGTGACATGTGGATATGCTGATGGTTTCGCCAAAGAGTGTAAGTTAGAGTCTGTGAGGTGGATGATGGACAGAGATACAGAACATGTGCAATCATTCAATCAATCAATCATATATTCTTTGTAAAACAGCCAACCATCCAACATCTGCCAGCCATCTCCCCTTCCTGTTGTGTCCAACCCTACCCAACCCAACGGCATTGAATAGATGGCATTACAACGAGGTATAGTAGTTGTGTTTGTATTAATTATCAATTAATGAGAGGAGGATGTTAATCAAATATGATTGTCTCGAGGTAGATAGTTTGCATCCCCAATCAACACTGGCATGTGTGCTGACCGGGCAATTGAGTTTAACTGGCAACATCAATTTCCATAAGATAATGATAGATATCGAATTCGCGCTCCAATGATTGGGTTTGTTCACATTGATTAGTGGCAACTCCATAGACTAACTGAAATATATTATAAACAATATATTCGACCATTGGTATTGTATCAAGTTATTGCCTATGTGGATGATGTCTCTAGGTGGTGTTAGTCAGTTGCCAAGGACAATGTTTAATGTTTGAGTCTTACTTGGTTTTGGGATACTCATATTCTCTATTTATGGCATTCGAAATTGCGTTGAATGTAAGGAGGAGGATCGATATCCACACAAGAATGTTGTTTAAACGTTTGGTTGAAAACTCATCTTGTGAACAAACTTCCCTAGGTGATGAGGAAATGTTGGTATTCAATTGGAATGAATATGGCTATCTTACTATTAGCACTAAGGACCATTGAGCCAAAAAAACAAAGCGACTTACAGTGTTGATTAAAGTGTAGTCTCCTGGAGGATAAGGGGATCGTGCGATCATTCTATTCTCCTGGCCTTTCTTCTTCAGAGCACCACCACTAATTCTGAATGCAGATGCTACTGTAGGCCAATCGATATCACGACGACATATCATGGTTGGATGAGTGTCTGAGTCTTTGAGGAAAACTCTGACTGGATCATCTATGTCAAAGACAATTCCATTGATCAATAATTCTCCATTGATAAAGTTAAACTGAGTAGATATTTGCAGTGACTATCAGTATACATACCTGTAGCTTGGGTTTCAGGATGAGCAAGTTTGAACAAGCGAGTGGCCCGACCAGGACTGATTTTAAAGGATATCAGTTGTTCAACTGTGGAGCGTCGTAATGTCAAACCATCTATGTGACCAGTTCTGATGGACATTGCATCCAAGTCATAGTCTGGAAGACCAAGGTACTCGACTAACTGATCTGGAGTTGTTTCATTGCTGAGAGTGAAAGGTTGTGATGAAGATGCCATTGAGTGAGGGTTGTTCATCACAACCTGAAGATCTACATATAATTATTACATTGAAGATCTGATGTGAAGTTAAGTAAAGTAGTAAAGTAAAGTACAGTACTACTCCCCAAACGGGGGGGATATGATTGAATGGTGCAATTCCATTCTGTCATTGAAGGGGTGGATTGACCTATAAGATGGTTGATCAAAGAGATGTTTCCTGGGGGAGGGGGATGGGGAATCATTCCAAGACAAAAAATCAAAAAGAATCTGCGCAATCCGAGAATCGAACTCGGGTCTCCTGCTTGGAAGGCAAGAATTCTGCCACTAGACCAATTGCGCTTTTTTTTTGTGAATTCCTGGATTATCTTTTGTATCTGAAAAATACAAAGCAAAATGCTCTTAAATAAAGGACCTGAATTCATCTGATTCAAAGGAAGATTAAAAATTAATACCGAAATCCAATTATTCTATCTATTTTCGATTAGAACAGTTTGCTGACCAATCAATTGAGGAAGGGGGGTGAAGTTTCCAACTACCTCTCGTTACACAAATCTTATTGTTTTAAGTGTGGGGGTTGATTTTGGGCTGAAGCAAGTCAACAAAGTAAGGGGGTATCACCTGGATATTTTAGTTGTTTTGAACAATCGCACCCTTTATTCATCCTTTTCACTTTGCATTGTTCCCTCATCCACCAATACTTATAGAGATACATTCATTCATACTTATATCTATATATATATATATATCTACTTATTCTTATCATGTTTAATTGTTATTAGTAATTGATTGAAGACAACAATATAAACAACAATAATAATAACAACATATACAAAACCATGACAAAGAATGACACAAGAAGTGTTTTAAAACTGGTTCAATACCAGGTATACTCTATGATGTCAAGCAGATGGGGAGTTGCACTATGTATACTAGGTGCATTCATATCATTCAATACTGTATTCCAATTAGTATCATTCGGTATAATATGTATGTTATAGATTGTATCTTTCATTCAAACATTCAATCATACATGCATTCTAACTTAAGTTACCAACATAGCTCATAATGGACAACAACAACTTGAACTTAAACAACAACAATTATTGTTGGAGGTACAATATAATACTCAATCAATGTTGTGTACTGAACCAATCGATGTGGTATATACATGGGTCAATGGATCGGATGCCAACTTGATCAATGCAGTCAATGAGTTGAAACGAAGGACACGAGATCCTCTGTTGCCACCTTGCACCGAAAAACAAGACCCTTCAAAACACGAATGTTATCGCGACGAGAACCCATCCAGCCGATTCATCGACAACCAAGAGTTGAAGTACTCATTGAGATCGATTGAAAAGCACGCCCCATGGGTGCGCCACGTGTATATAGTCACCAACGGCCAGGTGCCCAGCTGGCTCAACCTGGACAACCCCAAGGTGTCCATCGTCACACACGAGGACATCTTTGTCAACAAGTCACATCTGCCCACGTTCAGCTCGCCGTCAATCGAGACGCATCTGCATCGCATCCCGGGCCTGTCCAAGAAGTTCCTGTATCTCAATGACGACGTCATGTTTGGCCGGCCGGTCTTCCCCGACGACTTTATGACGCGCGGCGGCGGCCAGCGCGTGTTCCTCAGCTGGCCCGTGCCCAACTGCAACGACGGCTGTCCCAACAACTGGGTGGGCGACGGCTTCTGTGACCCGGCATGCAACACAACGATGTGCGACTTTGATGGCGGCGACTGCGACAACAGCACCGGACAGGTCAAGTCGAGGTATTGGCGAGGCGGCACGACCACCTCGACGACATCAAACACTGGCACAAGCAACCACAAGACATCTGGAAGCATATGCTCGCGAGGCTGTCCCGACTCATGGGTGGGCGACAAACACTGCGATAGAATGTGCAAGAATGTAGAGTGTGGCTTCGATGCCGGAGACTGTGGCACAGAAGTGATGGTCGCCAACATGGTCGGCTATGACATCACCAACAAGACGACGGTGATCAGTGTGGCCAATTCGACGACATCGGTGTACTTTAACCTGACTAATCTCGTGTTAGATGGCACTATAACGGATGGCTCACATGACAATGCCGTCCTGGTGCGCACCGCCACCATCTCACAGAAGCACAAGATCATGACGCTTACCTTCCACCAAAAGATAGCGTTCCAAGTGGTCTCAATCTCAATCTCATACGATACTACTGGCACAACATTCACCAAGAGGTCCCTTGTCAAAGAGTTCACTGTCATTTACAATTCAAACAGTACTGTTGAACCTGATACTACAGTGACTCCACTGGTCACCATTGGCAATGTTACCCAGTTGGATACGACTACAACAACAAATCAAACATCAGTCAACAACAAAGATACAATCAATCAAACAACTACATCTACAACAACTACAACAACAGATGATGAAGAGGAAGACGACGAAGATGAAGTTGATGATGAGGTTGTAGAGTTGAATGTGGACAACAAAGACAAACAAGAACAAGAACAACAACAGAAACAACAAGATATATATAATAGTACATACAATAGGATCAAGAATCAGTTTGAAGAGATGGAGCCAATAATGTTGGGCGATTATGAGAAGAAGATGGAAAAGGCTATTGCAGAGGCTGTTGATGATGATGACAACTCTATCAAATCAAACAAGACAGGAGGAAGAAGTCTAATGTCAATGCCAGAGACACCACTCAATGATGATGACCAAGAAGACCAACTCATTGAGGTCAAATTTGTCGCACGCCCAACACAAAACAATCAAATGGCAATGATGACAGAGGAGAGAGCAAAGCAGAAGGCATTGGAACTGTTACAAAGTCAAACGATGGATGATCCTGAACTACAGGCAATCAAGAAGTACACGCTGAACAGAGAGACAGAGCGAAGGGTCAAAGAAGAGTGTGGAGAAGTGTATCCTTGGGAGGAGATACCCGACGAGCTGGACGGTCTACCACTGAATGGCAAGAGGAAGTTGATGGACATGTTTGGAGACTCACTCAAGTTTGTCAACAGACTACTCACAGTCGAGTTTGGTGTCTTTAGCAGGAAGGTGCCCGCTCACATGCCTCACATGATCGACAAGGACCTAATGGAGGAGATACAACAAAAGTATGTGATGTATTATAGTGGTATAGTGATTGATTGACTAACTCATTATCTTTAGATGGCCAGCACAATGGGAGCGAACAAGTAGCCATAGTCTGAGGAACCCAAGAGACATGCAGTATGCATTCACATACTTTTACTATTTGATGCACAAGAAGGTCAATTATGATGTGGATACATTGTGGAATGATGATCTGGACTTTGACAAGGATGGCATACTTAATGAGAATGAAATGAGATCGATGGCCGTAACATTGTTTGGTGCTCCACTCAAAGGCAACACGTTCAAGGACTTCAAGGCCACACTCTACAAGGCTTGTCTGACATTGAGACAGCAGCGTCAATTAGATCGCAAGGAGATCTTGGTGATGTCACCCGTGGCCAACATCACTGAGGAGCTGTTCGATGCACAATTGGCCGAATGTCCAATCACTCTGGAAGTGCTCAAATCATCCAATCAGACAATGCACGATATGCTCAAGGTGTATGCCAAGCGCACCAAGTACAGAACGTCGATCGAGGGCACTGATGAGGTGGCATTCTTCATGGTTGACGACAACCATACCACCACCCAAACCAGACTCGATGGCATCAGACAAAAGAGACACAAGTTCATCTGTCTCAACGATAACATCAATCATGACAAACCCAACACTGAGCTGGTCATTGGTGTTGTGCACAACTTCTATCAATCACTATTCCCCTTCCCATCATCCTTTGAGTTGCCAGCCAACACTTCAAACTCATTCATGTATTTGGATGAGTACAGAGCAAAGATGTATGTTATGGATGACCCGTACTCATTCAATCAATCAATCAATTACTAACTTATTCATTCAACCAATCACTTCAGCAAAATAACCAATGAGTTGGAGGTTATCAATCAGTCCAACAATCAATTGGTTATCATATTTGGAGTACTCATTGTGTTTGTTTTGATTCTGATCGTCAGGAAGATCAAACACACGTCATCAAAGGAGAAGAACCAGCATTACATTGTATGAGCCCGGACCATTCAACCAACCAACCAATCAATCAACCATCTCAACTTTATCCCCAGAAGTCCTTTGGAGAAAACCATCACAACCCAGCCATGTCGGCTGGAACACGAATAAAAACTCGAAAAGGCACATGTCGGCAACTGCCTACGTCATGCATCACAACTTGGCACTGCCAAACATACAATCACACTTAAAATGATCTGATCAATCATGTCAAGATATTAAAGTGTGAATAGAGAGATAATAGTAATAGTAAATAGATGATATTGGATAACCTTCCATCATTGTTATACAAACAGATCATGGCATTGGTGGATGCTGATGATATAGTTTGTTTATCGTTGACATGCAAGAGAATGTATGAAAGGAGGAATAAGAAGTCATTCGACTCAACATCTCCATATGTTTACAGAGCATCGAGATCACCTTTGGACCCACAATTGGAACTACCTCCAACCAACATTAGCTCACTACTCTATGATCACAATCATCAAGAACCACTCGAAGAAGGTCTACTACCATCAACTCTTACATATCTTAGATTTGGTGATAACTATGATGGTGTGATTACAACCAATACTCTGCCATCTTCATTGTTGGAGTTGAGGTTTGGTGCATTGTACAATCAGGGTGAGGGTGTTGTGATCAAGAGAGGACAAGAGGAGGAACATGACAAGAGAAAGTACAAGGCATGGTTTGGAAGTATCATTGACAAGATATTGACACCAAAGGATGAACCACCCCCCAAGACGACACCATTGGTCTTACCGCCATCACTCACCAAGTTAACATTTGGAAAGTCCTTTGATCAACATTTGGATCCTGGTGTGCTTCCAATCTCTTTGACAGAGCTAACCTTTGGTACGTCATTCAATCAATCTTTGGATGATGGTACACTTCCACGAATGTTGAATACACTTATCTTTGGCGCCAACTATAATCAACCATTCTTCAATGATGACATATTGCCACCAACTCTTACAAAGCTTCATTTTGGTTCAAACTTTGATCAACATATCCCTATACTACCAGTGTCACTGTTGGAACTTGTCTTTGGATTCAGATTCAATCATCCAATCATGAAGAAACCACTCCCCGGCTCAATCACAAGGTTGGTCTTTGGATACTACTTTGATCAACCAATGAACAATTACACACTACCTACCTCGCTCACTGAGCTATCATTTGCATATGATGAGACTGCCCCTGTCAACAGATCTACACTTTCACCAGAGTTGATGGACACCTTACTACCTGGCGAACTACCCAATCCATTGGCAGTGACAGCGTTTGCTGGCAAGTTCCAACACATCATTCAAAAAGATGTACTCCCCAAGAACTTGAAGGTACTTCACCTTGGACGAGAGTTTGATCAAGAGATGAAGGTAAAGACATCAATATTCCCACCGACTCTGGTTGAGATAAAGTTTGGAAGAGAGTTCAATCAGTGTCTAGACATTGGAATTTTTCCAAGGACACTAAAGAGACTCACATTTGGATACATGTACAACAAGATAATCGTACCAGGGGTGCTACCTGAAGCCCTGGAGCATCTGGAGCTTGGACACTCATTCAATGAAACATTAAGAGTAGGTGCATTCCCTCAAGATTTGGTATCATTAACATATGGACATGATTTCAATCATCAAATCAAGATCGGTGTCCTACCAACGAATCTTCAGTACCTCACATTTGGACGCAACTTCAATCAATTGATAAACCAACAAGTTATTCCCAGAGGTTTGTTGAAGCTTACATTTGGCCATATGTTCAATCAAGAATTGAAACCAGAGTGTCTTCCACCGACCCTGCTTGAACTCAAGTTTGGCGCCAACTATACAACAAATCTCCATCCTAACTCCTTGCCATCATCACTCAAGACTCTAATGGTGGCTTCCAAACATGCACTGGACGCATTGCCCTATCCACCAAACTTAAAGACAGTGATCTTTGGCGATTATTCCAAACATACATGGCATGAATATTATGATCTACCAGGCACTGTTAATGAGTTGATCATTCACAAACTTGAATTAACGAATCCAAATGAAGTTGTCATCCTACCCCAGTCAATCAGTAGGTTGACGTTGGTCTACGATATAGTCCGACATGGTATGGCGGCACTGGTCGAGAGCATACTCATGAACAATCCATCAGTAAACTACCTCAGGATGCGACTGGCGACCAAGTTGTACCATGTCAGACTACTGGATCGCAATCACCACTCTGTGCTACTTTGGGAGAACAGCATGTTGAGTGAACCTGCCAAATTCACCTCGCTGTCCACAGTGCTCTCTCGTCTGTGTCACACCAATCCATATAAGCAAACAGGGATATATTAAAGTCTGTTGTCATCATTGTACATTCCTATCTATCCATCTCACTTCTGTATTGTCTTCTTGATTGCCAGTCCTCTGGGTATCATTAGTGATGGCTTCCTTGTGGTGACGATTGGTGCTTGATCGGTCTTCGATTCATCATCCATTGAGGGCGCAGTTGTTGATGGTGTGGCAACAGGCTCCAACTTCTTTGGTCCACCTGGTGGCTTGGACCTTGCCACATTCATCGTCTTGGACATGAAGTACTTTTGGTTCATCTTTAACGCCTTCTCGACTTCAGGCTGGTTGGGTAGATCAACATAGGCAAATGGTCGTCCACCAACCTTGGAGATCAATCTGACATCAATCCACTTGACATCATGCTTTGTCAAGAATTCACCCAGTCTCTCTTTGGTCACTGCTGGCGACAGATTGTTGATAAACACTGTCCTACCCTCTGAGTTGTCATAGTTGATAACAGGTGTCGTTGCATCGGTTGTTGTAGTTGTTGATGATGAGGACATTGGTGCATCACCATCTCCATTACTCTTGATGTTGTCTTTCTTGTCATCTTGTTCGCTCTTCTCGTGTTGCTGCTGTTGATCACCAAACTTTGACTTCTTCTCTTTGGAGTAGTCAACCTTGATTTTGAATCCATCAATGAGTGTACCATTGGCTGCGACGACAGCCTTGTCAGCATCGGTTGATTGTTTGAACTCGACAAATGCAATACCCTTTGACCTGCCATTACGATCGTTGACCAATCTCGCTGACTGTACCTCTCCATGATTGGCAAATATAGTCTTTAGTTGCTCCTCAGTAGTTGAGAATGATATGTTTGAAACAAACAACTTTGTCCTCTCTGATCTCGCTCGCTTCTTCTCTCTGCCACCTTGCTGATCCTGTCCCTCTCCCTGTCCCTTCTCTGGTCCCTCCTTCCTTGTCTTTCGCTTCTTGTCCTTGTTCAACATCTCTGTCTGTCTCTCCTTCTCCCTCTTCTCCATTCTCTCCTTTTCGCGTGCGGCAGCCTTCTCAATCTGCTTCTCCTGCTTGATCCACCAGCGTTGGTAGCGTCCAATAGCCTCTTGTAGTGTGGCCAGATCACCATTCAGTCGTTCAAAGTCTAGCCAATCCTGCCATATCTGTGCGCCAACAGCATCAGTGTTGTCGGAAGCCTTCTTGAACAATTCTCTACATTGTTGGGTGTTGCCGGCCAGTCTCTCCACTGATATATACTCGTTCCAAATGTAATGTTGTTGGTTGAATGACAACAATGTATCAAACACCTTCCTTGACTCCTCAACAGAGTGAAGCTGATAATATTCAAACTTGGCCCAGAACAACATTGTCTCGCTAAGTACTTGTACACACTCTGGTGTGTTATCTGTTGGTGATTGATTGATTGGTCAGTTGGTTGCCGGTCGTGATTGATGTGTGGATGCATAACATACATTGTGAGAAGTAGTTGTATATCCTTTGGAAGCCATTCCTGAACCGGATGGCCACTGCCAGTCGCGCCTCTGGGGAGAAGGCGGAGGTATGTTGGATTTTGGCTCGGTTGCTCCTCCATTGATAGTCAAAGTTGGCATTGAACACTTGTTTGTAATCTTGTGCGCTTGATAGTCCAGAGACGAGTGCTCGTTCAAACACTGTATTGAGCTCGTCCACAGTGTGTCCATTCTTCTCGAGCGATTGAAGGTAGTGCACCCACATGTCGCCGCTCCAGTAGACGCTCCTCGTGGCGCGATCAAACAGGGTGTGCAGCTGTGCCTGCTCAATCACCTTGTTCAAGTCCAGTTCGCAACAGTTGATGTAGGACTGCCATAGCTCCCAGGCATCGGGATGCGACTTGATGGCGCGCTCATACACTGTGATTATCCTGCCGGGTTTCTTTGTGCCCTTCTCCAACTGCACGTACTCCATCCACTTGGCTGACACGTCGGAATCGAGCAGGGCCTTCTCAATGCTCTCACGCTCCTCTGTCATCTTGAGTGCGCTCTTGTAGCGCGATTGCAAGGCCTGGTTGTTAGCCGGCTTCTCGCCATTCATCGAATCCTCCCACTCCTCATAGTCGCTCCACACTTCGTTCAGTGCGATCTGGGGACATGACAACTCGCGATGATACAGTGATCTGATGCGGCCAACCTGTGCCTGCTTCTCTTGAGCGGGGCAAACCTCTGACAACATGGACAACACGATCGTTTCGAATGTCCTGTAGGCACTCCACAGCTTCTTGCCCTCTGTTAAGTGATCGGCACACTTTACAACGGCCTGTTCATACATATCCCTTGTTCTCTTGAGGTCATCATTCACGGCAGACTCAATCCTCTTGCTACCAAATCCCTTTGTTGCGAACCTCTCCACCCAGTTACAATATGATGCCCAGATGTTGACAGCTAAACGATGAATACAATGTTAGTCAATCAATCAATCAGTAGCATTGTGCTCTGATGTACATACATAAGAAGTCTTTGAGAGCTAGTTCAAACAACTCTTTCATCTGGTCGTCGGACAGGTCTGAATGAGAGGATTCATCGGCTAGCCATGGCAACCAGACAGAGTCTGGAAGTGGGAATAGTTGTTGACATGCCTTTCTGGCAGACCTCAATCTCTCTCTATCCACTGTATGTGCATTCCTCAATGCATTTATATACTCCAAGTGTCTTTCGAATGAGTATGGACTCTCGCGAAGCTAAAGTATAGATGATTGATTTAGTGAGTGAGTGAGTTGAGCCAGGCAATCGAGTCATTCATTCATTCATTTACCTTTATCTCCAAGTGCTCTATTGTCTCATTGGATACAAATTGTCTTCCATCTTGATAATCATCATCACTGTCATCACTGCTGTCATCATCACTACTGTCATCATCCATCAAGTCATCTTCATTTTCACCACCATTGTTGCTATCTACATTCTCTTCTTTAAGATCATCATCATCTTCATTATCTTGATACTGTCTACTAAACATTGTATAATATATATGTATCTAATTAATATAAGTTGGAACAATGAATGAAGCTCACCTCACACAAGTGTTTATCTGGAGTTGACTCAACTTCGCTTGTCAAACTTCAATCAATCAAAGTAAAGGAAACTCAAAGACTATCAATCATAATGTTGATTGATTCCAACATACATATATAAGTATTAGTAGTCATAGTAGTACTACTAGTCCACTAATGGTCTACCAAGGTGCTACTACCTCCAAGTGGACTGTTGTTGTGGTCAAGGTTACAAGGACATGGACTTCATGAAGTTCAAAGTGTAAGTCAAAATGAAGTGTTGTTGTGTGAGCCATGGTGTTGTTGGTGTTTGACGCTGTGTTGTGTTTGGTTGGTGAGAGTGGTGGGGAGGACGGTGAAAGGATCGACTCTGTATCGTATGATCACTTATCAGTTCTGTTCTGTTCTGTTCAGTTCATTCATTTGTGTTGTTCTGTTGTTCTGTTCATTCATTCGTGTATAATACTTTACTTTATAACATAGTCATAGTCATAGTCGTAGTCAGAGTAGAGAGATAGAGATAGAATGATGAACACTTTATTGAGCGATAATCATGGAGGTGATATTAACAACAACAATAACAATATAATCAATAATAACAATAATAATAATAATAATAATAATATTGGTATAGATATGCATCCACCTGTATTCAACAGTAATGATGCATTGTCAGAACAAGGACTACATCAACTGGACTGCAGTTGGACAATATGGGTGATTGATCCTACTACCCAATCACCAATGAAGCCACTCACCTCATCAACATCATCTTCACACGACGACTATCTATCATCAATGGATAAGATTGGTACCTTTGACACTGTATGTACCTCTGAACATCACTCTTTATCTCTTTTGAATCAAACAGTTATCTCTAACATTCATTCATTCAATCAATCAATCAAGGTCGAGGAATTCTGGACGTAACTATCACTTTGATATGCCAATGATTGGACTCATTCAATCACTCACTCACGCTCATTCATTCAATCAATCAAATTATAACAGATGCTTCCGCAAACTAAAGCCACCCTCAAAGATGCCTATTGGTGCAACTTATCATCTGTTCAAGACTGGTATCGTACCAATATGGGAGGATGAACATAACAAGGAGGGCGGTAAATGGGTGATGCAGTTCCAAGGTTACAATAGGAGTCTTTACAACACCGACTTGATATGGGAGAACATTGTACTGGGTATTGTTGGTGAGACAATAGACACCGAAAGAGATATATGTGGAGTCGTGTTGACGAAGCGCGACAAGCTGGAAAGGATACAGATATGGAACCGTGATGCTCACAACAAAGCTGGTGTGGACTCACTAAGGTATGATACCATCATCACATTACAACAACAAACCAGGGGCACCTTACTAACTTACACTCAACAGATCCAACATCCTTAATACACTCTATGGTCTAAATGTACAAAAGTTGATGCTGAGGTATCAAGTCCATTCAATGAACAACTCTCAGAAGGGAGTAGACAATAGCGAAGCATCATAGACATCAACAAACATCAACAACATCTACAACATCAACAATATCAACATGATCATTAATCATCAAGAGTCACTGCTACACACAGACAAACATACACAACAAACACACAGACAGATGCCTGTCTGATATAATGTGGCAGGACCGCCTCCGACGCGGTTGGAGGCCATTGCACTCCATCCAGCAGGGAACTCTATACTGCACTGCGCTCCCATTGCTGGACCAAAGAAATAACATAACGAATCATTCCATCAATCAATCAATCAATCAGTATGACATTGTGGTCCACATCATTCGCAGATGATGGATGGGTGTTATTTTGATCGGGGACCACTGTACCAGCCATCTTTGTGTAAATCTCATTCATTAATCATTCAACTTACATCACACCCCACTTTGTATATCTATATCTGTTCTGTTCTTTATCTCTCTTTAGTTATTTATATTTATATTTATATATAAATCATCATGGCCAAAGTAATCTACAGTGAGGACTTGAGGAAGCTACTTGAAGGTAATGAATGAATGAATGAATGAATGCATTGATTGAGTCAGGTTGAAGTTGTTGCTTACTCTAGAGTGCGACACACATGTTATGTAGAGTTCACAAGACAGGATAGCAAGGTCATCACACCCGAGTTGATGAGTATCATTGAGAACATATCAAAGACAGGCGTTACATGGTATGTTTGGTGATGGTTGTAATAATGAATGGATGAATGGATGAAGTTGCTTACCAATCACAATCATATAGCTACCCATGGGTTCATCTGAGGGAGCTGATATATCTGAGACTATCACAGGTAAGCAAGGTCATCACCATGATATGACTTCATATGGATGATTGACTTACATGACTGACACATGACATAATAGATATTCGAATTGTTTGAGAGCAACTTGACTGATGATGCCTCTGGCAACAGCCCATCAAGCCCAAACAATGCAGCGACAACAAAGGATGATGAGATGCTCAAGATCAAGAACCAACTCAATCAGTCAGGTCTCATCCGAATGAAGAATCAACTGCAGAGCCATCTCAAAGAGTTCAAAGAGTATGAGTCATCATAGATGGATGGATAGCAATGGCGCATACGCCAATGAGAACTAACCTAACATATCATCATTGATCGATTAGACCACCATTCACTATTCAACGACTATGCGAACTTATCATCGACTTCAAGATGTACACTTCATACAGCAAGTACTTGTGTGCAGTAGAGAAGATGGGCACTGTCACCTCGACACTACCCCCATTGACTCCATCAGAGGTGAACGAATACAACAACAACAACAACAACAACGCCACATCTGGAAACAGTAACATCGAGACATCATCATCATCATACTCGCCACCCATTATTGATGTCAACAAGCACTTTGAGACACAGTCCACATTCTTTACTGTTGCCTCTGCCGCTACAACCTCGACATCATCCACGACCAATGAAGACAAGGATCAAATCATGAAGGAGGCTGACTAACAACAAATGGACGCTCATTCAACACTCAATCACTGGATTGATTCCAATCATTACTTGTACAATATCATTTGGCCAGTCAGTCCCGTGCGTGGACTGATCATCCATCCCATCCATCCAGCTCATCCATCCATCAATCAATCATTCATTCAATCACCAGTTCCATTCATCAATAAAGGGATGAACTTGTCGCCAACCTTGACTCCATGATCAGACCTTCCATCTATGAATGCATGCCTTGTTGATTTGATTGTTGTACTACTTCTTACTTGCAGCTGTTTATTTCCTGCGAGCAAAGTCGACGCTGAGGATTCTAAAGTCGTATCTGTGACCATTGAGATGTTTGATTGCTGTCTCGGCGTCGCGGAGACTCTGATAGGTGACATAGGCAAAACCTCTTGGGTTGCCGTCGTTGTCCTTTGGCACGTTGACCTTGGCGACGTAGCCAAACTTGCCAAAGAGCTCTCTGAGATCCTTGTCGGTGGCATTCTCTGACACGTTGGAAACAATGAGTGATGGTACCTCGTCTGGGTATGCGCTGCCTGAGCCTCCACCTCTCTGTGATGGTGGTACGTAAACATTTGACACCTCTTGTTTCTTGTCGTCCTTCTCTTTGAATGTCTTTGTAGCTATAGATATTTGATTGATTGATGTCAGTGTCTTTGTGATCCATTGATTGAGTATAATGATGATGTTGTGCAACACCTACTAAGGTCGAGAGCTTCTTTGTATGGACACTTGGAGGTGAAATGGTTCTTCTTGCAGTTTCTGCACACGATAGTCTCCTTCTTCTCGTCATCCTGTTGTTGTTATGGTCGCGAGTGTAAGTCATGTGTCATCTCCATCGATTGCTTATCCTCCTGCTGTTGCTGTTGCCTGTCACACATGACGAAGGTATGCCATGCCCATGCCCTTGAGTTGGGCAAGACAGACACCACCAGCTTGATGAATGAATGAACTTACAGTAACATTGTTTCTTGAAAGCGTCAGGAAGACCTCCTCACCAAGATTGGTGTTGGCCAGTCCGTCACCGACATTCTCGCCAAACTTGGTCCATTGTCTTCTCTCGTCGACCTTCTTATTTCTTACAACTGGTACTTGATATTCGCGGAAAGTCTTAATAACCTTTATATCCTCTCCCTTATCATTCTTTACCAAGTACTCAATAGTCTTCTCCTCTGGTACCTCTGCCCAATTTTGTGTCTTTGGGATTGCTACTGTTGCTGCCATCCTATATTCTATTCTATGTTTAATATAATATATAAAAAGAGGTATGATTATAATGTGAAGAAGAAGTGATGTTTAGTTGTTGACCTTCATCAAGTCGAGCGAAATGAGGAAGACCTTAATAAAATTAAAAAAAAATGAGGTCTTTTCAAACTTTCGCTAATCCTTCCCTACTCAATATCCATGAACTTCCATTTCAATGATCGATCATTGTGCTCACTGGATCAGGAATGATTCCAAATTGAATATAGTGATTGTTATAAATGATAACAACCGTTTATTATAATAACAATCAATCGATAATCGATCAAACAGTAATGATTGGGGAGGACATACACAACTACTTTATTGAGGTGCAGAAGAAGACTACTTGATAGAGTTGTTGGTTATTAGGTACATATATGTGTTGTGTTGATGATGTTATTAAGTAAGTAGTATACCATGGTAAAAAATATGATGTGTTGGTGGTTTACTTGGAGAGCATCATCTTGACAAACTCCTCATAGTTGACCTGTCCATCACCATCGAGATCGGCCTCCTTGATCATCTCCTCGACCTCCTCGTCGGTGAGCTTCTCGCCAAGGTTGACCATGACGTGACGCAGCTCGGCGGCTGAAATGAATCCATTGCCGTCCTTATCAAACACCTTGAAAGCCTCTCTGATCTCCTCCTCTGTGTCGTTCTCAACCATCTTACTATAAATATTTATGTTTAAATTAAAACAAAGGTTAGTTAACTTGATTGATTGATTGATTGACAATATGATCACGTACCGAGCCATCATAGACAGGAACTCTGGGAAATCGATGGTTCCGTTGCCATCAGAATCGACCTCGTTGATCATATCCTGGAGCTCAGCCTCTGTTGGGTTCTGACCGAGTGATCTCATGACGGTTCCGAGCTCCTTGGTGGTGATGCTTCCATCGCCATCCTTGTCAAACAGGGAGAAGGCCTCCTTGAACTCAGCGATTTGTTCCTCAGACAGTGCTTCAGTCTATAAGTTTGTTGTTGTCAGTCATTACTGTGTATATTCATTTCGTCGTAAACAATATTCAATCAATCGTTCAATCATACCATTTCTTGATGATTTATATGTGTATATATGTATGTGTACAAAGTAATTAAATTGAATATGAATATGAGCTTGTTGAGTTGATATGGTGTGATGGGCGTGAGAGAGCTTCAAAAGACAGGGGTTGGCTTTGTGAGTGTGATTTGAAATGAATGAATGAAGATAGTTTATCAAATTTTGATTTATTTTTTCACCAACAAACAAAACAAAACAAAACAAAAAAGGAGGGCACTTTGGATGTTGATCGATCCAAACATCTTTGTTGACAGTCTCCCTCGCACACGATAAGGAAGGACATGTGTCCATGCACAGAAACATGTCAAGCTACTATTACCTACCAAGGACTCCTATCCTAGGTAAGTTTTAGACACCAGGATGATATATATAAATAAGGATTGGGTGGTACACCATGGTGACAGGTAGACATAACATGTCAAAAGTGTCACTCTCGGTATTGCCCAGGCATTGGTATCATTGCATTACATGCATGTCACTGCGCGAATGCAAATGATGGACAATACAACATACTTATCCAAAAGGATATATCCGTCCTGAATCGTTGATTGATTGATATCGATTGTGATTGGTTGGATGTCTGGAAGTAACTAACTTGTAATAACAAAGGACCAAAGTTGGCGCAAGTGTCAACTAAAAATAACTGTTGTTGGGTGTGTGATGAAGGTGATGATGATCTTTCGCCCTTTGACCAAAGGAGTCACTTCATTGAAGAGCTTATTCTCGTTAACCTCGATCCTTGCAGTTTATCATCACATAAATATATATATACATGGGTGTTACGATATGTGGCTATGTCGTGTGTGATGTAGGTGTTGCCCACTTCCCCCAACTCACTCATTGACTTGGTGTGAATGAATGAATGTACATGTATGTGTGGAGTGGGGAAAGAGTATGATGAGCATCGTTGTATGTATGAATGAAGGGATGTATAACATTACATCCATTATCACTATCATGTCACCCCTACAACAGACTAATATACTTGTACTCAAACATACACACAGATAGCAACGACAAATAATCATAATAATAATCGTCAATTATTATTACATAGTGATACAACATCCGGATGAGTAGACTGAACATTTGATGTTGTAGATTATGTACAAGTGACCATTTACAACAAATAATCCTGTCGACCTACCCTCTGAAGTAGTCCGTACATCCATACACTTACTACGACTTCCACTGCCTCCATTGCCACTCCCTCAATCAATCATTCAGTCCAATCCAATTCAATCCAGTCCTGTCCAATCCAATCCAATTTGACATTCGTCTTTGTCAAGTGAAAATTGATATCCTTCTTCTTCAAACAATCAAGTTGCCAATTCTTCCTCAACATCAATCAAACTTCCAACAACAGCAAGTTTCCGAACTTTATACATCCTCCCTCCCACCCTCCATGTATGTACCCTACTTCCATGATCGAATCAAATCGATCTCTTATCAATCATCGTACTTACTAACTTGGTACCATCGAATCAATTATAATGGCAGAGTTTTGTGGAGCACCTAATATTATTAATATACTTCGAAACAAAGTGATGTTGATTGAATCATTCTCATTGCCAGGTATCCTTAAATGGACTACCAGTAAGGCGTTGGGTACATTAGTATCATCTCCAAACAGTAGTAACAGCAGTAGCAGTAACAAAGTTAGAGATGAAGATGATGATGACAGCATGCTGGACGATGAATCAAACGACCATTCAATCACAACATATACACCAAGAGAGAGGACACTTGTAAAGAGGTCAACACCAAGACAATTCAATAACTTTGATAGAGTCACATATAATCGATGTTTGATCGACCCTCCAACCTCATCATCTTCGTCATCATCTACATTGGAAGAGGATATTTCCGAGCCATTCATTTGCTCTCCAGGTATTGGACGACAGATTGAAGACTTGCCTTTGGAAGTGTTGGTGCATGTCTTGGGCTACCTGGAATATACCGATATATGTCTGGCAGTGGCAAGGATCAACAGACACTTTAGGAATATGAGCAATATATTCATCATCTGGAAAGGACTATACAAGAAACACTGGACCAATGGCGCACCAAAAATAATACCAATCAATCATCTGGAATTATTCCAATCACAAACCACCATCACTACCCCATCAACATCAACTACCTACCATCCAACGACATTATCACCCGAGATATCAAGCCGAACAAACTTTAAGGAATTATTCCAACATAGACATATTACACGCAAACATTGGAGACGAGGAATGTGCTCGGTACAGACATTGTATGGACATGAGCATGGAGTATGGGGCGTGCAGTTCCAAGGCGATACATTGGTCAGTGGCTCAGAGGAGGGCGTGATGAAGGTGTGGGACATCAATGAAGGCCAATGTACACATACACTGGAGGGTCACAGCAATGTGATCAATTCATTCCATTTCGAGAACGATCATATTGTGAGTGGCAGCGATGATTCCACTCTCAAGATGTGGAATGCTCGTACTGGACAGTGCACCAACACCTTCCGTGGACATGATGGCTCGATCTGGATGCTAGAGTTTAAGAACAACTTCCTGGTTAGTGGTGGCGACGACCGCACGATCCGACTGTGGGACATGAACACTGGCGACCAGCTGTCAGTACTACAGGGCCACATGGGCAGGATCTACTACCTACAAATCGGCACCGACTTCATTGTGAGTGGCTCACAGGACAAGACATGCAAGCTGTGGGACATTAGATCTGGACAGGTTGTCCAGTCGATGAGCTCGGACTCGGCAGTCCATTGTCTACAGATGGGCGACGAGTCGTCGGCAGGATGGTCGGTGGCCAGTGGACATAACAATGGCAACATTAACCTTTGGAACATTAGGACCGGCACACTGCAGGCAGCCTTGTCTAACCCGCTAAGCTGTCCTGTATGGCATATACAATATCGCAAGAACTATTTATACACATCAAACTTCAACAATCTACATTCATGGGACTTGAACACAGCCGAGTTGCAAGCGCCATCCTCCACGCCATTGGTACACTCAAGAGTGTTCAAAGGACATACCAAGACAGTTAAGCACTTCCAGGTCGGTGACAATAGATTGGTCAGTGGTGGAATGGACAACATGATCAAAGTATGGGACTTGGAGAGTCCAGGCGGATCATACCTCTACACCCTCGCCGGACACACTGGCAGCGTCGACTGGCTCGAGTTCAAAAATGACAAACTGGTCAGTTGCTCATCAGACAATACCATCCGAGTATGGGATTACGATGTATAATAACGTTTGATCAATCGATTGATAGGAATAAACATTGATGTGACGAACATCATTATGTTCATTCATTCATTTATTACTTATGCTTGTGATCATGTTACATTGAGTAGTTTGAAGGTGTAGACACCATGTGGAGGGAAGCTGTTTGGTCCAAGGGTTGGTAGTTTGATCTCGATACCTTTGTCAGTGGCTGCGGACTTGAAGGCGAGAGCGCCATTATAGCCAAGTAGTGCAATGGTTGTATTTTGTGTGAGAGCAGGCTGTGTGAGGACTAGGTTATAGCTATCAGGCCAGACGAATGACATGGCGTAGACAGCTCCAGTTGCAGCATTTGTAGTATACCATAAATTCTTATCCTCTGTATCATTCTGAGCACGCCACCAAGTTGTATTATAAATAGCCTCTCCATTAACATTCAACCATTGTCCAATACCAACCAATCTCTCCTGCATCAACATTGGTATTACACCTTCAGCATTCTATTCCATGATTGATTATGTAATTGATTGAGTGAGTGAGCGAGTGAATTTGATTGATTGAGTGATCGGATGCATACTGGTCCAACATTGAGTAACAAGTTACCTCCACAGCTGACTGTGGATACTAGGGTTCTGATCAAACTGTTTGTACTCTTGAAGTTTCTGACATCCTCATTCAAGTTGTATCCCCTTTATAATGGTACCATGACATCGTCATTGTTAGTAGTGTTCGTGGGCCAGTCACATTAGTACATTACATACCATGATGATCCAATTGTATAACAGTTCTCCCACTTGTGAGAGAGTAGTTTGCCTGGATGGTAGCCATCGTATGGTGTCCAGTATCCACCATTCTTACCACGACAATCTGATCCCCATCGATCGTTTGTGACAACTCTATCCTTGACAGTGGTGTTGGTATAGAGCCATTGCAAGAACTCAGTTGCACGCCAATATGTTGATGTTTCCTCCCAATCACCATCCACCCATACTACATCTGGCTCATAAGTGTTGACCATCTCCTTCATCATAGGATGCAATACAGTCGAGATGTAATGATCCCTGGTCGGTGTACGTCCTGATGCCCAATCATCTGCGTAGATTTGTGCGAACCATTGATAGAGAGAGTGATAGAGTCCCATGTGTAGACCTGCGTTTCGGACTGACTTGGAGAGTGTGCCGACAATATCAAGGTGAGGGCCCTGGTCCACAGAGTTCCAGCCATCACTATACTTTGATTGCCAATTGCAAAAGCCATCATGATGCTTGGTAGTGAGCACCACATACTTGGCACCTGATTTAGCAAACAACTCTGCCCATCTATCTGGATTATAATGATGTGCTTTGAACAATGGTGCAAACTCCTTATAAGAGAAGTTAGGTCCATATGACTTGTTGTGGAAGGCTTGTGTTTCTCCCCCATCTGATTCAGTCCTTTTCATTCATCGATTGATTAATATTAGATCACTGATTGATTGAATGATGACATACTTAAGATTGAGCCAGTACCATTCTCCAAGTGTTACTCCCTAGATGAAATAATGGTTGGAGGATGGGTTAATATTGAAAGAGTATAAGGAGGGATGTAACATACTGGTACAGCGAAAGCTGGGACACTGTATATTCCCCAATGTACAAATATACCAAACTTGGATTGATCATACTATTGATTGATTGGTAGTATGAATGTAATGTTAGAAAGTACTACCTAAGTATCAAACTAATCCTTTATAACTTACCCATGATGGCAATGGTCTAGAGTTGATGGACTATAAATGATGATGGAATGTTAATACAATTTATTAATAAGACCAAGTTATAAAGGTACTTACCGCTGTAAATAGTGATTGATTGATTGATTGATTGATTAATGAATTAATAAATTAATATTTAATTGAAGGAAAATACTTTTATAATATACTTACTCCAGTTTGCTTCATAAGTTACCTGTACTGGTGGTCCCTGTTCTTGAGGTCCCTGTTCTTGTGGTGGTGATGAAGAAGATGATCCTACTACCACATGAGTAGTGATCACCAACAACAATACTATAAGTCTAAGATATATCTTCATCAATGATCTTTCATTTGCAACCTGTTGTTTCAAGAAATGGATAATTTCGGCTACTCATCTGATCACTTATTGCTTACAATCATACATCTAAGTACTTGTTGTAGTGGTACATGTGTATGGTTTGTTGTAATGTAGGTAGGTATGTAGGTAGGTAGTGGCCTAGTGGGCTCCAACATTCATATTCATATTCATATTATCACATGATCATTCATTCTCTCGCTCCGCTCACTCACTTATTGATAGTGGTGAAACAGGATGGAAGTGTATGATCAAACATAGGATGGTGAGTGGGTTGTGTGTGTGCCACACAAGTTCAATCACTTGATCATCATGAACATTCAGTGTGGATTGGAGTGGAAGTGGAATGGAGTGGATCGTATAATTATTATTATTTTAATTTATTTAGTCATCCTCTTCATTGTTCTTCATCAATCTGAGGAAACCATCTTGGGACAGCTCGACACAGCCCATCTGCTTCATTCTCTTCTTGCCTTCCTTTTGTTTGCTGAGCAGTTTCATTCGTCGTGTGATATCACCACCGTAGCACTTGGCCGTGACATCCTTGCGCATCGCCGATATATTCTCGCGGGCCAACACATCGTTGCCGACGGCCGCCTGTATCGCCACGGCAAACATCTGGCGATCGATCACTTTCTTGAGGCGCTTGACCAGCGAGCGCGAGTGTGGCGTGGCACGTGATTTATGTACAATGGCCGACAACGAGTCGACCTCCTCTCCATTGAGCATGACCTTGACCTTGACCACGTCGGCCACGGCGTAACCGTCGTCCTCATAGTCGAGCGACGCGTAGCCACTCGAGATACGCTTCAGATTGTCAAAGAAGTCTGTGATGATCTCTGAGAGCGGGAAGGAGAATGTCAGTCGCATGCGACCGCCTTCCATCATCTCGTGGTCCAATTGCGAGCCACGATGTTCCATGCATAGCTTGAGAAGTGGGCCCAAATGTTCGTTGGGAGCCACAATGCGACCGATGATCATCGGCTCCAATGTCTCGCTGATGTTCTCCTGTGCGGGGTAGTCGGCCGGGTTGGAGATCATCTTCTCGGTGCCATCGCGCATCTTTACGCGGTAGGGCACGGTGGGTGGCGTGGCGATCACAACCTGGCCATACTCCTGCTCGAGTCTCTGAAGGATCACGTCCATGTGGAGGAGGCCAAGGAAGCCGCAACGGAAGCCCATACCCAGGGCGACCGAGCTCTCCTTGGACATCGACACCGAGGCATCTGTGAGTGTGAGCTTCTCAAACGACTCCTTCAGCGACACGTAGTCGAGGTTGTCGATGGGGTAGACACCCGCGAATACCATCTGCTTGGCGGGCTTGAAACCCGGCAGCGCGGGCACTGGATGCTCCTTGTGGTAGAACGTGTCGCCGACACGTGCCTCTTGCGTGGTCTTCATGCCCGGCACGATGAAGCCGACTTGGCCCGTGCGCAGCTCGCCTGTCAGCTCCTGCTCAGGGTGCATGACACCCACATCAAACAGCTCGTATGTCTGGCCGCTGGCGGCCGCCTGGATGACGTCGCCCTTCTTCACTGAGCCGTCCACGACCTTGATCATACAGATAACGCCCTTGAATCGATCGAACCAGCTGTCAAAGAGCAGTGCCTTGAATGGCGCGCCCTCGGTGCTGGGTGGTGGCGGCACGCGGTCAATCACCGCGGGCAGGATCTCGGTGATGCCCACGCCACTCTTGGCGCTCACACACAGGACGTCCTGCGGATGGAAGCCAAAGGTGCTCTGAAGTTGCTCGAGAACCATGTCCACGTTGGCCGTGGGCAGGTCGATCTTGTTGATTACGGGCACCACCTCGAGGCCCGAGTCCAGCGCCAGGTAGTAGTTGGCCATCGTCTGCGCCTGCACGCCCTGACACGCGTCCACCACGAGCAGCGCACCCTGGCAGGCCATCAGCGAGCGCGACACCTCGTAGTTGAAGTCGACGTGGCCGGGGGTGTCGATCAGATTGAGCAGGTACTTGTGGCCGTCAACCTTGTTGTGGTAGACCATCGAGCAGCTCTGCGCCTTGACCGTGATGCCGCGCTCCTTCTCCACCTGCAGCTTGTCGAGGTATTGCTCGCGGCGGTTGTCGCTCTTGATCTGCTTGCTGAGGTCGAGACTGTCCTCGCCACTGCCATAGATGTTCTTGGGCAGAGTGCCCGTCAGCGACAGCAGCTTGGTGCTGAGTGTTGTCTTGCCATGATCGATGTGAGCAATAATGCTAAAGTTCCTGACGCGTGATGGTGGGTATTGTGTCACGTCCACCTTCTCCTTCTCCACTGTTTTGTTGCTGTTGCTGTTGCTGCAATATGTTCGTCGCCATAATGATGTGAGTGCTGTTGATGTTGCCAATAGATGGGCCTGACCAATGTTGTTGGCATTGGATGCAACCCGACAACAACGAAGTATGTTTAACATTGCTATCTATCTTACACAAACATACAACAAGTAGTCGTCTTCTCGACTTTGTCTGACAAATTGTCGTTTTTGATGGAGTGCAAAGTGATCAGACGATCATTCATTCATCTCATTGATTGATTGATTGAGTTGATTGATATAACAAAGGAGGATGGTTTATTATCGCAATCTACATGTTATCCATTTCATTGATTGATTGATTTGATTGATTAGTTGGGTTGATTGATTGACTGATTGGATGGTTGTAAGGTTGGTTGTGGCAATGGACAGGAAGGGGAGAGGGACAGAGAGACTCATCCATTCACATTGATATCACATGTGATTGTAAAGTGATGATATTCAAAAAAGGATTGGTTTGATTGATGTTGATGATGATGATGTTGTTGAATGGTTGATTGAACGAATGATGGATGTTGGTAGATTTGGGCTGCATGCAATCTGATTGTTGGGTCGGACTGTGGAGGGAGGGAGGTGAGAACGTTGTTGATGGAGTGGATGGGAGGCGGAGAGGGTTGTTGTTGAGTGAGTGGAGGATGGGATAGTACGCTAGCACTTTGATTGTTTTTGTGGCTTCGTAGCGTTGGAATTGATCTGAACACCTTGTTTGGCACCACCGCCAATGAGTCCCTTGTTTATCTCGTTGGCTATCGTCGAAAATATCTGGTCTACGTTGAATCCTGTCTTGGCGCTCGCCTCCAAGAATGGAATGCCAAGAGAGTCGGCGTATTCCTAATGTTGTTGTTGTTGTCGTTAGAATGAGTGATGATACGCTGTTAACAATGTGCACGAGAACATACTTTAGCAGAGGTCGTAGAGACGATCTTCCTATCATCGAGATCAAACTTGTTTCCGATCAGCATCTTGCTGACACCGACGACACCGTATCTTTGAATCTCTTGCATCCACAACTTGACGTTGTTGAATGTGGACTGATCGGTCATGTCGTACACGACAAGGATACCATGAGCACCTCTGTAGAATGATGAAGTGATCGTTCTGAATCTTTCCTGTCCTGCTGTGTCCCACTATATATGTTGATTGATTGATTGATTGTGTAAGTAATCACATTCATCGATCATCGATCATCAATATCATTCATCATTGTCTCGCTTACGATTTGAAGAGCAATAGTCTTGCCGTCTATCGTTATATTCTTTGTTTTCTGTTGTTGTGATGTGATGTGATTGATGTGACGTTAGTACTATGTTTAGTGAATGCCCTTCATCGTTCATTCGTTCATTCGTTCATTCAATCAAACATACATTATCGACACTAGTCATGTTAACTGATGTTTCTTGGAATGTGCCATCCTGTTCATTATTAATGATAACATAAGTTCAGTTTGTTAGTCTCGTCATTCATTCAATCACAGTCACAAATACACTTACAGAGAATCTTAATAATAGGGATGTCTTTCCAACAGATGAATCACCTATCATCAAAAGCTTATACATCTCGCTGTTGTTGTTGTTGTTGTTGTTGGTCATGTAGAGAATGGTGTGTCTTATGTTAGATGCTGTCCTGTCTGTAATCGTCTGTACACATGATTGATCGATCGATCGAGATGACACCTACGGTTCGGCCATTTGTACAACTGTATATTATCTTTATCTATTTATCTTTTTAATCTAGACTGTTTTATATATAACTTCTTGTTATTCTTCTGTTGCTGCAATCTCTTTTAACTATCTCTATCTATCTTCTATCTATCTGTGTCTGTGTGTGGTGTGTGTGTTTGTTGTAATAATAATAATGTTTATTTGTTTGTTGAAGGGTGTGAGTGATAAATGAATGAATGAATGTTGGGAGTTGTGTGAAGTGTTATAGAGAGTGAGTTTTGATTGATTGATTGACTGATAAGATGACGTCAGTAAAGTATCCTTATGCTTATAATTGATTGATTGATTGGTTGATTGGTTGTTTGGTGACTGATTGTTTGATTTATTGATGTGTATGTGTCACTCAAACAAGTGATGTTTTTTTTTTGTTATTATGTATGATGATGATGTAGGTGAAGTTTTTGCCCATCTCCTCCAACACACTCAAAAAAATTTAGATCTATTTTCGATTTGTGTGTTTTTGTGTTATTGTTTTGGAGTTGTGTTTTGTTGAAGTATGTTTGTTTGGAATGGTGGCCCGAATTGTCGCAGGTGTGTGTGAGTGTCGAATCATTGCAATTAAAGAGATATTATTAAGTTACACATACTTATAAATATACAAATATATACTTCATATACATATATAAATATAAACAATATGGACTACTTAACATTGTTTATATTGTTCTGCATTATATGTGCAGTGTTACAATATGTAAACTATAATTCAAACAAAGATGATCAAGCTTCAAAGTATACAGGACTGTCATCGACCAACACATTCTCAGTGACCAGTCAAATGTCATTCAAAGCATTCCAGAATCAATACCTATTCATCTATCTACTTGCAATGGGTATGTTGTTAACATGATTGATGTGATTGAATGATTGAATGAATGAATGTACTCTAACTTCAACTTTGATAGGTGCCGATTGGATGCAGGGACCATATGTATACGCACTTTATAAGTCATATGGCTTTGCCATGTCAGATATTGCTATATTATTCGTCAGTGGATTCCTTTCAAGCATGGTCTTTGGTGTCATAGTTGGTCCAATAGCTGATAAATAGTGAGTTACAACCTTGAATGATTGAATGAATGGTCGATCAATCACTAACAATCAATCAATCAATCAATCAATCATATAGTGGAAGAAAGTTAATGACAATTATATTTGGAATACTATACTCTGCGAGTTGTGTAACAAAGTTAATGCCAGACTACAACATATTGATGGTTGGCAGGATATTATCCGGAGTATCAACATCATTATTATTCTCTGTATTTGAATCATGGATGATCTCTGAACATAATGCTGTATGTTATGTTACCTTGGTTCACATGATTGATGGCTGATCACTGACACACTCTCCCACTCACACTCAATCAATCAATAACTCAATCAATCACATGATCAACTCAACTTAGAGAGGCTTCCCAGAGGAATTGTTATCATCAACATTTTACAAGGCAACGTTTATGAATGGTGTCGTGGCTATTATGGCGGGACTGTGGGCTTCGTTCTCGGCGGAGCATTGGGGCTTCGTATCGCCATTCATGTGGTCGCTCGGATTGTTAATCATTTGCACATTGCTGGTCATTGCCAACTGGAATGAGAACTATGGAAATGCCACGGTATCATTAGAGTCAACCTTTAAGAACTCGTTCCAATACCTGTTGAACGATCGCACCATTATCAAGCTGGGCTTCATCCAATCTCTATTCGAAGCGTCAATGTACACCTTTGTCTTTATGTGGACGCCCACACTGCAGCAGTCTGGCGTGGCCGCCAGCGACTCGGTCTCTGGCACGGCTGCCGAGAACGATCTGCCCTTTGGCCTGATCTTTGCCACGTTCATGGTGTGCATCATGATCGGATCGTCCATCTATAACATGCTGCCCAAGGTGCCGCCCGAGACACTGGCGCGCTGGATCTTTGCCGTGTCGATCGGCAGTCTGAGCGTGCCCTTCCTCATGCCCAATCACACGCTGTTGCTCTACCTGTCGTTCCTGCTGTTTGAAGTGTGCTGCGGCCTGTACTTCCCATGCATGGGCACACTGCGCAGCAAGTACATCCCAGAGAGTGCGCGAGCATCCATCATGAACTACTTTAGAGTGCCACTCAACTTCATGGTGGTGGTCATCCTGTCCAACACCTCCACCATCTCCACCACCAACATCTTCATGGTGTGCACCATGTGGCTTGCGATCGCCCTCACCCTCCAATCAACCATTCGTCCATCCTCCCAATCAATCCCACATTGACAGACTTCATTGTCCTGTCACGTTCAACGCGATCCGATCGACTAATCAATCAATCAATATACAAACTCATTTATTTAATGAGAGATGATGCGATTGTATCAATATCAATGAATCCAGCATGGACTATTGTGCTGGTTGTGCGGAAGAACAATCGGTTGGACAATCGACGTAGGCGGAATGGCCGACATCCAAGCTCCAGGTCAGTGATGGATGCTGGAAGATGTTGGAGTAGTTCCATAATCTGATTATCTTGACAGGTGCTCCAATGTAGTGACTTGAGTGATGCTGGCAGTACAGACGACACCGTGGACATTGATTCGAATGGATCGTTGGCACAGCGCATTGATAGTCTTGTCAATGATGCGGGTAAATGTCCTGGATGCAGGCGATGTTGATATCCATGGAGAGTGAGTGTTTGGATTGATGATGGCGATGATGGATGATGCTGTGGCCATATCATTTCGGACAAGTTAAAGTTATTCTCAGATCGATCGATCTTGATATATAGGTCTTCAATTCCCTGTGAGATCGATACAATCTGACGAATGGGGATTATTCGCAAAGACCTCAATGATGGCGGCAATGTGGATAGGTCCAACTTTTGTTCGGAGAGACCCGCTGTGGATGTTGCACGCATACGAATCAGATATTGAAGCACTGGGAATGAGGTTGATGTTATGGCCTCAAGTACAACATCATCAATACCAAACAGATGGAGTTCTTTGAGATTGGCGTTGATTGTCTTGGTCAGACCCATTGCCAACGTGTTCGAATAGGCCGTGAGATACTCCAAAGGCGGATGATTGATGATGTGTGGGTACGATTCGGAGTTCACGTGTAGGCGAGTGATGTTGGGCTGCAGCAGTCCAATGAGAGGCAGATTGAATGAGTGTGATAGTTCCAGCTGAGTCAATGACGGAGGCAGATGAGCACGGAGGTTCAAGGGCTGCCCATCATGAGTGGGCGGGATAAAGAGTGTTCGAAGTGATTGAAGTCCAGACCAGTCAATGCTGGCTGGAATAGTTTGGCAAAAGTATTGAAGATTGGTCAATGTTGGAGGGAGTTTTGATGGATGTAGCCATACGTGATCAGGTTCATTATACTCTATAATGAGTTCGGTCAGGGGTATGTGGCGCAGGGTGCACTCGAATCTGTTACGGATCAAATTGAGATGAGCACCAACATTTGGTCTTTGATTGAGCACTTCCACCAATTTGTTCCAGAAGCCATAAATAAAATCAGAATCATTTAAATTGATACCTTCAATGTTTGGTATATCCAATACTTGCTTCTTCCATCCATCACCTGACTCTGATTGATTGATTGATTGATTGATTGATTGATTGATTAATAGAGTGATTGAGTGAGTGATTGAGTGGACATACTTACCATTGTTGATGACGAAGGATTGGTCGTAGAATGACTTCCAATTGTCATTGCGGTAGGATTGGAGGTAGATTTGTTGTGGCTTATTGATGATGTTGTCATTGATGATATGTCTGTAAGAGTTCAATGTATTGCGATTTGATCGATACTTGTGAAATAAAGGTAGACGAGCAGTGTTGAATGATAGATATACAGCACGATGATCAAACCATCTCTTACACACCATTGAAAACATCAACCTATCAACATTATTCTCCAAGAATGATACTATCAACTTTAACACTATTAATGATATCGATTCCATCCTTTATCTCTTTCTTGATTTGTTGTCTTAAAACAAAATGATCATTTTGATCAATCTCACGCACCCACACAAAGAGATAGATCTTAAATCTAAGATATTCAATCAGTTTGGTGATCGTCCTTGAAAGACTCAATCACTCGTTCACTCAATCAATCAAATACACACAATCAATCATTTACAATCAATCAAGGACATGTTGGACGAATACTTTAAGAATGGATTCAAGGAGTATATTGAGAGAGATAGGTTCTCAGATCTAAAGTTAAGTTGTGGCGGTACACTTTACTCGACACATAGGATCATATTGGCATATAGTTCAGAGTTCTTTGCTACATTGCTATCATCAGAGTTTAGAGAGTCCACTCAGGCATTGATCGAGCTCAAGTTGCCAGACCCCCACAACGTCTTCAAAGAGGTTCTGTCATTCATGTACGATGGTCGTGTACTGCTGTCACCTGACAATGTAATACCATTGCTGTCAATGGCCAAGTACTACATCATCAAGCCACTTGTAACACTGTGTATGCAGTACATTGAACATAATCTACATCGAGAGAATGTCTTGACCATACTCAAGGCATCGATATCATTCCACTTTGATGACATTGTCGATCGATGTCTATACATCGTCGCCAAGAACTTCCCCAACATCTGTGAGACAATGAACATACTACACTCTGGTACTGGTCCTGGCACTGGCTCTGGCGACAACAACAACAACAACAACAATGACAATCAATACTTCAAGTTCCTGCCGCCACACATCTTCCTCAATCTCTTGCGACAACCATATCTCGTAGTTAAGAATGAGTACAGTCTATATCTTATCGTTTCAAACTTTATCAAGTATCATAATGACTTGGCTGTCGCGGCCAATGCAGCAGCTCATTCATCATCATCGACCTCATTATCAACATCGACATCGACAACATCAATTGGCTTTGTGGGCAGCCGAGCAAGCTTGGACAGCAACAGCACGGGAAGCAGCAGTCAGCTGTGTAGTAGTGGAGGTGATATAAGATTCGAACCGAATGAGATTGTAGAGTTGATGAGTCAGATAAGATACATTTGGATGACCTATGAGCAGTTGCTAGAGGTATCAAACAATCCATTGGTACCAAAGCATATTCTAATCGAAACATTCATGGAGCGACTCAAGAAGTATGAGCCACATGACGCTTCAATCGAGCCAACTGTATCACACTCAAGGTATGTATTAGTAGTCGCTGCGCTGGGCACTCTCAGTTCAGGGGCGATCTCACTCACTCGATTAATCAACATCGCTCACGGATGATTATCTGGAATCTTTCCAATCACTCCCTCACACTCTATCAATCAATCAATCTTGGATTCATTCCACTCACTCACTCCATCAATAATTCAATCCAGGTTCCTACCTCGCCCGCCACAGTCTATCCTGTTCGAGTATAACTACGACTTTGATAACAAGGGAATCATATATTGGATCGCAACCATGGGTCTCAAGGAGAAGTGGTCCAATCCTCATCAAAGTGGAAGGATCAAGGTATGTTGATCATCCTGGACTTGGACCAAGTCCCATCCCAGGGCCCTAACCTAATCCCCAACCAAACTACATGCGCATAGATCACATCATCAAGTGTAGACAAAGGCTTCCATCATGATATTGTAGAGTTGTCGCCATCTGCTTTCTGGACAAAGGACGTGCCAGCATCTTGGGTGACGATAGACCTGGGCCCAAACCGCTCTGTAATACCAATGTACTATACAATTCGACACGGCTTCTTCAAGTCGGACAGTCTGCGAACATGGGACTTCCAGGGCTCGGTGCACGGCGAGCACTGGACCGTGTTGAAGCGTCACACGAACGACGCATCACTCAATCTCAAGTACGCCACGCACACCTGGCAGATACCAGGAGTGACAACGGCCTATCGATACTTCCGCATCCTACAAACTGGCAAGAACTCCAACAATCGTAACTTCCTGCTACTTGGTGGCTTTGAGATATATGGCGAGTTGCTACAACGCTAGTGATCAGCATGCTGGCGCTGACCAGATCCGTCTGTCTATGTTTATATAAAGCTCGCTTGTACTTGGATCGATTCCAATCATTCAATCAATCATTCCAATTTGGTATCCTTGAGTTTTATCAGCATGTCATCGATTGCTGGAGTGCCAGACATGCTGGCCAGATCGAGTGGCAGTCGGCTCTGCATGGATAGGTTGGGTTTGATTCCTTCGTGTGTCTCTACTATTCTGAATTCAAATCTTTCCAATTGTTTCACTGTCTCTTCCTCCTCTTCAGATGTTGTTGATGATGCCAATACCAAGTCCTCCTTTGGATACAGCTCATACCAATCAAACAACAATGAATCTGTTGTTGGATGTATTGGATTGAAGTCGACCAGCCATACTCTATTCTCTTTGGTAATATATACATCGAAGCAATCTGATGAATGGCAGTTCGTGTGAGTGATTGCGAGGGAAGATACGTCTGGATCACGACAACAACATACATGACTCGTCGTCGAATTGACGACATATGTTCTCGATAAAGAATTCTTGGATGGCTTGTTCGATGGCCATCTTCTTGGCGGGTAGGAAGTTGTAAAATGTTGATGTGTCACGCTGACTGATTCCAACCAGTTTGTTGCCTCGAACAAAGCATCTGAACTCCATCGATAAGTATAGGTTATGGTACTTCCGCAGTACTAATGTATAGGGTGTTATATGCTGGTCCTTCAACTCCTTGGACAACTCGCTATCAAACACATGGACGATGAGTTAGATTGATTGATTGAGGGAGAGGTGAGCAAGACTTACAATTGTGCCAAGTCATTGTTGATAAAGTCTGAACTCTTGAGTAGGAGTATGACATCGGATGGAGTGGTGCACTTTAGACTACCATAGGAGTTCATCCATGTGGCATCTTTGGGCGCGGACCAGTTGAGCTTGGGAATGACCTCACCTCCCAGCAGTTCAATAGAGTCGTTGATTCGCTTTGTGATGTCAGCCAGTGCAGCAGGGTCTATAACACGTTCATTGCAATCCTCATCCGACTCATCTTGGCTATCAGTATCATTGACCTCATATGATTGATAGTACTTTGGATTGAACTGTGATGATTGTTGACTCCTGCCTGGCTCTGTTGACCACTCCTCATCATCGTCATCATCTTGCACTGCTTCATCCTCATCATTATCAGCAGTTCTATATATTGGGAATTGTGTAGTCTCTGCAGCAAAGTGATCCGAGTTGAGATAATCGATGAATAGTCTTGGCAAAGGAATGACGCAACTACTAAAGGTCACTGAATTGAAGCGAGGATACCAACTCGCAAACATACATCTCTTCTTTCTCTGTTGTAATATATCCATATTATATGTTATAAGTAAGTAAGAATATAGGTATGTATCTGTATGTATTTGTATATATATATGTATTCGATGTAATACAAGTGAGAAGGATTGACGAACGAATGAAGAGATGGTCAACAATTGGAAGAGGGGGTAGTCCCATAAATTAAGAATATGGGGGTTGGTGGGGGTTTCGCGCGCATTTACCTTAATCTCGAGAAGTTGAACTCATTCATTCAAAGCCAAAGTCAAGACAAAGGAATTGAGAGAGATAGACTAGACGTGTATAAATGTATATATATATAATATAATAATATAAATGGATAAATTAATAATACCAAATACAACAACAATGGATCATATATCAATCGCACAAAATATAAAGATAATATCAGAAGGATTACAACTTATCAATCAAGCCGCAGACATCCATGCCAAAGAGTTGAATATACACAGTCAGAAACAACAACAACAACAACGTCAGGATGGAGAGATAGATAATATACCAATTGATACGACATCGACATCGACATCGGCATCGACCACGACAAAGACGAATGGAACGTCAGAGAATGAAGTTTATGAACCATATATCAAGAGTTTGAAGGAGGAGATCGACAGGCTCACACAGGACAAGATGAGGATGGTGGAGAGTGAGGAGTTGCTGAGGAGAGAGAATGAAAGGCTCAACAAGGAGGTGCAGACACGCAAAGACTTTGCTGCAACAAGTATCGCCGAGAAGGAGGTTGCTCAGCGTCAGCTCGAGAGTCTGGAACACAAGCTGGCAGATATCGAACAGACTCACGAGAAGTTGCTCATCGACCAAGAGATCGAGATAGACACTCTGCGACAGGCCAATGAGAAGATGTCCAAAGACCTCCAAGAACAACATAGTGAAATGGAACGCAAGAGATTGGAGCACGAGCAAGCACAACAGCCACAACAAGTGAATGAAGTGATGGTAGTGGACACAAACGAACAACTGCTTCACAAACAGATAGAAGAGTTGAAGGAGGAGAATAGCAGATTGAGTGATGAGAGTAGTGCATTGAAGGAGAGAATGAAGGAGCAGATGGATGAGTATCAAAGGACGCAGGACGAGGAGAGAATGAAGCAGGATCAACTCCTTCAAAACAAGATGAAGGAGTATCAAGAGAACAATGAGCAGTTGATGAACAATGTCACGACAAAGCACGAAGAGACGAACCAGCTGCTTCAGAACAAGATACAAGAGTTGGACAATGAGACACAGAAGCTGAAACAACAGATTCAATCAAACATCGATGAGATTGCCAAGTTGGAGTCAGCGAGGGATGCACAACAACAAGAGTTGAAGAAGGTCATTGATGAATCAGTGGCCATGGCGATGAAGAACGCCAATCAGCGAGTCACCGAGTTGGAGGCGCATTTGGCTCAGGCAGACCACGACCTGAAGAGTACTCAGGCTCAACAAACAATGGATAGGAAACAACTGGAAGAGGCACAACAGCAACGACAAGAGTACAAGGACAAAGTCATGTTCCAGGATACAATGTACAGGCCCATAATGGAGGACCTCAAGAGAGAGAATGAGAACCTGAAGCAACAGATATCAGATATCAATGAGAGACAACAACTGCAACAAGATAACAACAAGGACAAAGACAAGGACAAGGATACGGACAATGAGGACACAGACAATGAGGATAATAATGGAAAGATTGCAAAGAAACAAGTAGGTCAAGGTCAAGTTCAATATGAAGATGATGAGGAGGACTGGGACGCAGGAAGGCAGTTGGATCTGTTTATTCGCGTCCAGGAACACGTGGCCAAGTTTGGCGACAAATACACTGGCTATCAGAATATATATCCAATTAGGAACAATCGATACAAGATCAACAAGCACGAAGCCATCATCACCGAGGACAACCATGGCAAGCTGATTGCCAGGAGAAATGCAAAGTCTGTACCAGTCGCACTGGAATCACTGTACATATCAAAGCCAACAACATGGGTCGTGTGGATGACTGGATTATGCGTCCTGTTTATGTTGGCACTGGCTGGCGAGCAATTGAAATGGTACAGGGACAACAGATACTTCCAATAATAATACATCATTCATTTCCATTGCTCTCTATATATATATATCTCTTTGTTATCTTCTACAATCAATGATTTAATGGTGTTTACTAATTTACAATGGATGAAGCCTCTGGCAGTCCGTACTCATCGGAGCTGGGGATGGCTGTGGACGCGGATGGCAACGAAAGGTAGGATGGCGTGTCCTCCAGCTCCAGCTCCTCATCCATCGACATGAGCTCCGCCTCCAACTCGGACTCGTCTAGGGACTCGGGTGTCTCGTAGGCGCGACTGAGCGAAGACTGGATCTCGTTGTTGAAGTCCAGGAGATCCTGCATCTCGTCCTGCAGACTGTCGATGTCATCGACGTCGATCTGCTTGAACTGCTTCTTCATCTCCTTGGCGCCCTGCTTCATGGCCGACACCGTGATGATCGTGTCCTGCATGGATTGCGTGGTGAACTTTGTCTGCTCCATATTGAAGCTCTGCTGTGACAATTGATTCCTCTGTGCTTCATACATCTTCTTCTGTTTCATCACACGTAATGCCTTTGTCTTTATATTATTCTGTGCTGGTCCTGGTCTAGTAGTCTTTAATTGTTTCCTATATACAGCTAATTCCTGGTCCAACTTATTGATCTTTTCATCCAAGCCTCCTATATTCATGTCCAACTATATATAATTAACATCATTAGTCATTCATTCATTCAATCAATCATCCTTCATTCATTCAATCAATCATCCTTCATTCATTCAATCACTCACCCTTTTAGTTGCCTCGTCCAATGTTGGAGCGGGCGCTGCTTTAGATGCACCAAAGAATCTCTTCATTCTGTGTCTGTATTATTATATGTTGGTATATATTTGTATGTTATAATATGTGATAAAAGTAAATGAATGACTATTCAACTGACATCTCAACCTTCATGTTTGAGTCTGCTTCTGCCCTCACAAATTGAAATTAGATTCAAGGTATCTCAATTATGCGAGACGTGGTTGCCCTTGCAACTCAAGACGAAGACCAACCCCCCAAAACATACCCTCGCGCACTTACCCTCACAGACATACCCTCGCATGATTGTTACATGTAATACTAACTACAACTATAAGGTGTATTACTTTATTTAAGTAACACATAACTAACGAAACTAAACTAAACTCGGAAGAAGTATTGTAAAGTAATATTACATCACTTCTAATAATTAGGCTGATGTCTGAATAGTCAGCGGAGTTGAAGTCAGTGAGGAAATGTCGTCTGGAGTGTTGTTGTTGGTTGTAGTGGATGGGATGGAGGAAGTGGTAGAAATAATATCGACTGCGAATGGCGTTGTTGTTGTTGTCGTTGTCGTCGTTGTTGTTGTAAGGGCAGCTGGCAAAGTTGGTGTCAGTGCTGAAAGTGCTCTCTGGTTGTCCATGAGTGACTTGATGCTGGTGGTGTTGCCTCCACAGACAATCGCTATAATATTCTTGGCGTTGAGCTTGACCAATTCCTCATGCTTCTGATAGATGACGGCCAATGATGCGCCACATGCTGGCTCCACGAGCACTCGCTCGTCGTCGACAAACTTGAGACAGGCCTCCACGGCCTCCAGATCAGAGACCTGAGCGGGGATAACTGGATGCGACTTGGCGCACTCCCAAGCCTCCTTGCACACGGCTCTCGTGGCCAATGTTTTGCAAATGCTGGTCACCTGTGATGCGTCCAATCGGACGTGCTTCTGTGCGTCAAAGCAGGCGGCCAGACTTCTGGCGCCATGTGTCTCGACGGCGATGATTGTCACGTCGTCCCAGCCAACGCGTCTCAATCCCTGGATGATGCCAATCATAAGGCCACCACCACCCACTGAGCAGAGGATGGCATCGGGCTTGGGAACCATGCCCGCTGTATATTCAGCGTAGATCTCATCGATGATTGTTGAGTGGCCCTCCCAGAGGTTGGGGTGGTCGAAAGGGTGAATATATCCATCAGCTCCCTCGCGCTCGGCAATCTCGCGTGCCAATATATCCGCCTCGTCCCAGATCGTTCCGTTGACCAGCACGTTGGCACCCTCTGCCTGAATCTTCTCTCTTGTCTCCAATGGGATTGTGCTTGGAAGTACAATAGTAGTCTTCACTCCCAGACGTCTGCCAGCGTATGCCACAGACTTTCCAGCATTGCCACCTGATGAACAAACTGTTTGGTTGATTGAGTGATTGATTGATTGAGTGAGGTCAGACCATCAAGCATGCGTGTTTGTGTATAAAGGAGTGAGACACATACTCAAATGCTTGACACCCTTCTCCTTGACTACGCGGGAGCAGTGAAGGCCAACACCACGGATCTTGAATGATCCGGATGGCTGGAGTGCATCCAACTTGGCCCATACTCTGACACCATTGTTTCCCTCAGTACTCAATATCTTGTTCAAAGCCAATGACTCAATCAATGGTGTATTGACATGTAGTGGGCTACAAGTAAAGGGTATGTTGGAGGGTTCGTTAGAGAGTGCGTGTGGGTGATTGGGCGAGGGAGGGATTCATTCCAGGGAATGTTTCGTCTTTCGTCTCGAGTGTTCGGTTTTTTGCAAACAACAATGTGTTGGCCGTGGAGAGTGGCGTGCGGCATACCTTTGTAGTTGTTGTTGTTGGTTTACCAACGATGAAGAAGTCAGAGCGACGACACTTGGAGAGGGCGATCCGGCAGCAGTAGATGAAGATGATGACATTTCTATGTTTAGTTTATATATATTCAATAATGTAATGTATGTATGTTTAATTAATCAATCAATAATAACTTGTATGTTCTAACTATCTATCTAACTTAATAACTATCTGTTTGGTATTGTTGTTGGTTAAATTGATTGGATGAAATGTTGACAGGTCAACTTGTGAATAAATATTCGAAGATTGATTGATTGTGTTGTGTATGTCTGAGTGTGTGTGTTTGATTGAATGAATGGATAGAGAGTGAGAAGTGAATATGTGAGTTGTTGTTGTTGTTGTAACACCCAGGCTTTTGACTGACTTTAGAGATGGTCAGATATACACACTCTCTCACTCTCACCTCACATAAAGAGTCACAATGTAAATGTACTTTGTCTAACGACGAATGGAATAATGAAATAAATCGTTTTAAATGATTTTGGGAAAGCAAGGGATGCATGTATCAAAGAGTGAGTGAGGTAAAGGGGTGTTCCCGAATTGAAATTTCACATGGTGTGTCTTTGCAACCTGTTCTTTCAAACCCACAACAATATGTTACCCCCACCCCATGATGTCCAATCAAGTTGTCAAATCATTGGCTCACCAATCCAGTTTGGAAATCACTGCACCATACTTTCTGTAAAGCGTACACTTTTGTAAACTTAAAGATCTAACATTGTAAACAAATCAATATTACGAGTTTAAGAGATTCCATATTTGGAATGGAGTCTTCAAACTATCTTTTATTTATTTAATGTGATTATTGGCTTTGTTGTTAAAGACGTGATGACTGAGTGATGGAAGAGTAGTAAGTGAAGAGAGAATGGTATGACTAAGTGATATGATGTTGTTGTGTTTGATGTAGTTGTTGACGATGATCAATGAGAATGAAGTCAGTGTGCCAAAGAGTGACGATTGATCAAGATAGGCTACCAATGATTGGATATCCTTGACCAACGATCCATTCACTTGACCATGGATCAAAACTGGTATATCTTCCAATACAATTGTCATGCACTTGCAACATACCTTTATAGATCATGATAGATGAAAGTTGGAAATTGGTGGACTGAGTATACGTATCACACCGCCAAAGACAGCCTTGAGCTCCGATGAGTATTTGTTGATGACCATGTCGTTCAGAGTCTATGTTTGATCATCTTGGGCTGTATGAAATAGAAGGTATATCAAGCCTTGATACAAGTGGTTGATGTTGTTTGTGATCTCGTATGCAGTTATTAGACCTCTGGCAATCAAGTCATATCCCTCCCCATCGAATGGAAAATAGATCTTGTCCAAGTCGATTGTAAAGAAGATATTTCTGTTATTGATCAATTGATATGGGAGTGGTTTACCTGCCTCCTTGTAACAACTTGTGATCCCATCGAGCAGGATCATTGACCTCAATTTCTGAAAGTCAAAGTTGAACATGGAATATTTGATTGATTGATTGAGTTAGTGAGTGGAATGGTTCCAACGATAAAGGGGGACAATAACATACATTGAGGAATGATGGACCCATCAGTTTGATCAAAGTGTTGGCATATTGATCTGGCAATGAATAGATGTACTTGTTAAAGTATGGTTCGATTGGTTTGATGTGGCACATCAATATTTGGAAGCGAGGTTGAATCTGTATTCTTCTCCAGGCATTCTATAACTCGTTGTTGTTGAACATCATCTGAGTTGGTCATTACAATTTCCAAAACATCGCTTATTAAGTTGGAATTAGGTATGTAACTAGAGCTCCAATATGTAATGCTACTGATGATTGTGATGATGAAGTCAAACACCACTTGTTTGTGATCATTGTTGTTGAGTAGCTTGGAATGAGAGTGCGGGTAATGCGTTGATGACATCAACTGTGGAGTTGAGTTGAGTGAATATGAGATGATGATGTTGTTGTTGATGACCATCTGATTGATGTTTGATCTGATCTGTCGACTCGTTTAACTTGGACTCCTCAGCAGCGCACTGATTGAGATTATTCATTGACTCCATCACTCTATTATGTTGTGATCCACTTGTGGAGTAACTGTCATCATCACCATGTTCATCATTATCATCATCAACCTCTCGTTCCGATGAAAACAGTATATCAAATGATGATTCATCACTCATAGTATGTTGAGCACTACTATCAATGACCACCTCATCGTCATCATAATAATACTCATCACTATTTATATATTGATCCATATTGTTGTTATATTTACTAGTATAATCAATCAGTGTGATAGATAATTGATCAAAAAGGTTAGGATCATATCAGTGTGTTTTGGAATGATTCCATATCATTTATTGGCTATTTTTGATGAAGACGTGGTGGCTGAGTGATGGAAGCGTCGTCAGGGCAGAGAGAATGGTATGACTAAGTGATATGATGTTGTTGTGTTTGTTGTGGTTGTTGACGATGATCAATGAGAATGATGTCAATGTGCCAAAGAGTGATACTTGATCAAGATAGGCTACCAATGATTGGATATCCTTGACCAACGATCCATTCACTTGATCATGGATCAAAGTGGGTATATCTTCCAATACAATTGTCAGTGAATTGATTGACGTTGGACATTGAGGTAGCCATTTACTTGGCAACTTGTAGTTGTTGGTGTTAAAGTTGGACAAGTGAGGAAGATGTAAGGTGACGTTTAGTGTCTTGTTTGATTGATTATTGATGTATAGTTGAGGGAGAAGTTTTCTTCTGCTGTACTTAATGAGTTAATAATGAGATTGTCCACAATGCAAGTTAGCATTGGTGGTGGTTTGCCGTGTCCAGTGTATCTCATGCTTAATGATGTCAGTCTCTTTGGATCTTGGCCATTCCCAATGTCAGGGTCATCGAAGCCAAGCATACGAAAGTGTCGCCTAACATCGATGTCGTTGTTGTTGTGGATTGATAATGGTAATGGATCGATTATTGAGTATGTGTGGTATTCGATCACTTTGAGATTGGGTGATTGATCGACATATGACTTGTAAATTGATTGAGTTATATTGTGTTCATGTTTAAATCCTCTCATCTTGTAATATTGTCTACGTTCTTTGCACTCGTTGTTCCTTATCTCCTCGACCATCATATTAAACTCTGACCCCAGGTCACCGAACTCAGTCTCCTCAACTATGATGTGTTGGAGATGTGACGCGTGCACCATGATGAACGCTGGTGGACGCTCATGTTCGTTGTCATAATACCAATCCTCTCTGGTGAATATCACTGTTAGATGGATGAGACGCTCCATCCAATGGCCAAGTCTGTCAGTTGGGATATGAACCAGGTCCAATGAATGGAGTCGAGTGGGTGTGTCTTGGAAGAGACAATATCGTGATCCAATATGATTGGTTGATGTTCCAAGTCTGATTGGAAGTGGATGATGTGTCAGTGTCATCGCACATGCCTTGTGGAAGTGACTGTTGACCGTTGACAATGACACCAGCCATGTTTGATCAAGCTCGTCTCCACATCCAAGAATACAATCTTGGACAATCTTGTTGACAACGATCAATGGAAGTGTGAACAATGATTGTGATGGTGATCGTGATCGTGATCTTGATGATGGTGTGATCAACAATTGATTCCTCTTGAACTCTTTGAAGAGTTGTCGTTGATCATTGATGAGTTGTTCGTCTGCGCGGTGGTCAAGTGTGCTCAAGAGTAACAGTTTGCATCGCTTGAAGTTGAAGCCGAGAGTCTGCATGAGGTAGGCATACTTGAGGAAGTGGAACACAGGGCGTGTGAGATGTCCAACATGGATGAGTTGATCCTGTAACTTGGTGCCATTGATGGTAACATGTGGCCGTGGTGGATATGTTTGACGTCCATCCATCATTATATCAATGTATTGGATCCATGTCTCGATTGGATCTGAGCAGGAATTGATGAATGATACCAAAGTCTTTGTGTCAGTAGATCGTTCAAAGTTTATAAGAATGGAATGCACTTTCTTATCATCGATCAATGATTGCTGTTGACATTTGGTGAGTAGATCAAAGTTGGACAATGATCTGTGTGTATATATACCGCCAATGACGGCCTTGAGCTCCGATGAGTATTTGTTGATGACTATGTCGTTCAGAGTCAGTGTTTGATCATCTTGGGCTGTGCGATATAGAAGGAAAACCAAACCTTGATACAAGTGGTTGATGTTGTTTGTGATCTCGTATGCAGTTATTAGACCTCTGGCTATCAAATGATCTTGTTCCTGTTTCTCAACATAAGGAATGTAGATCTTGTCCAAGTCGATTGTAAAGAAGATATTTCTGTTATTGATCAATTGATATGGGAGTGGTTTACCTGCCTCCTTGTAACAACTTGTGATCCCATCGAGCAGGATCATTGACCTCAATTTCTGAAAGTCAAAGTTGAACTTGGAATATTTGATTGATTGATTGAGTTAGTGAGTGGAATGGTTCCAACGATCAAGGGGGACAATAACATACATTGAGGAATGATGGACCCATCAGCTTGATCAATGTGTTGGCATATTGATCTGGCAATGAATTAATGTACTTGTTAAAGTATGGCTCGATTGGCTTGATGTGGCACATCAATATTTGGAAGAGAGTAAATGGATGTGTATCCTTCTCCAGGCATTCTATAACTCGTTGTTGTTGTTGTTGATCATCTTCCAGGCCCCTCATCACAATATCCAACACATCACTTATCATGTTGGAAGGAGGGAGGTAACCGGTCCAGCTCACACTGTTGCTATTGATAGTGATGATGAAGTCAAACACCACTTGTTTGTGTTCGTTGTTGTTGAGTAACTTGGAATGAGGCTTGTCTTGTATCATTGTCAAATAGATCAACTTGGCATATTTGGTATGGTTGCGATTTCCACCATCAACGAGGAACCATTTGTTCATCCTGTCCTCCAGTCTGGCATTTCCAAGCGATGATGATATATGTTGGTACTTACTCAACATCTCTGGATATCGCTCGTTGAGTTGATTGTGGTACGGCAGCTGATTGATTGATCCAATCATCAAAGCGGCATAGTGATCGATCACTTTGGTCATGTTACAATCATTGTCATCATCTACATCATCCACGATCATGCCAGCGATGTGATTGAGTAGGTCCTGATCGTAAAGAATGGGAATGATGCAAGTGCCAGGCTGTATCACGGGTCGAGTTTTACACTTGTTTGTGGCAATGATGAGCAATGCCAACAACAGGTCTGTCAAGGTGATCTTCACGCCAGGCAATGTCGACAACTGAACAATATTGATGATCTTGCCTCCATCATTATGTGGACATCTCGTTACAAATGTGATGGCGTCCAACATGCTCATGATCAATGGTCGAATGATATGTGAATCCTTGTGAAGCTGGTTGATGTGATCAAAGGGTGGTGAGTATGGAATGATTCGAGTGTCCATCATTCAATCAATCAATCAATCAATCAATCGATCTACTACATACATTTGAGAGTTGGGGCAATGCATTGATGATATCAACTGTGGAGTTGAGTTGAGTCAATATGTGATGTTGATGTTGATGACCACCTGATCGATGTTTGATCAGATCTGGCCACTCCTTTGACTTGGACTCCTCAGCAGCACACTGATTGAGTTTATTCATTGACTCCTCCATTCTATTCTGTTGCATAAGTACATGTGATTTACTAGCTTGATAATTATCCTGTTCATAATCATATTCTCGTTCCCATGACAACAGTACACTAATTGATGAATCACTCCTTGTATCATCATTGGCATCATCTTCATGATCATTATTATGATCATGGTCATTGTCATTAGATTGATCCATTATTGTTTGTTATTATCTGTTTTAAACATAAAGGAGGAGAATGAATGAAAGTGTTTGATCATGATCAAAGTATGAGTGTGTGCTTTTATAAGAGGGGTTGGGGTTGTGTGTTGGAATGATTCCATAAACAATCAATCATTTCACACACCAATATTGAACTTCCAACTGATCAATCATGAGCACTTCGATCACAGCAGTCTGACACATAAACCCCAAGTACCAAGATGGCCCTGAGTATTGGGTGTAGTGATGGATGATGAAGGAAAAAGGTCGACGTAGTGCTTGGACGATTGATAGAGTTCCAATTCCATATTTGTAACCTGTTCAGATAACCTGGTTCATCGAGGGTATATGAGAACCTGAACCAACTTGTTAAAGATGAGCTTGTTTAGATCTATCCACAAACACTTTGTTCAACACTTCCTCAGAAGAGTAATGTTGAGCTTCCATTCTTTCCTGATCAGGCCATAAAACACCCCATTTTGCCCAACCACGTGCATGTCATCAAGTAGTTCGTGTGATTTTTCCAACAGCCTTTCACTTCCTTTTGGCGCGACCAACTCAAAAGCGAACATCAATCCTGATACCGAACCCGCACCCCCTCACAACTCATCGCCAACCCAACACCCCAACGCGCCCAATTCCAAAAAGCATTTAAGATGCAGTCCTTGCATTCGATTCCAATGTCAATCTACTACTTACTTCGAACAAACAAACAAATAATATATGTAAAGAATGAATACAACTTCAACGACAACGACAACAACATCATTAATATTTAATGAGTCAATTATTAAAGAAGAGTTGTTGAGATCAATCGATGATCTGTCAATGCGTGGACTATATCTTGGCGCCAAATGGTCATGCGAACAGCTCACTTCACTAGATAACAATATATTCTTAGTCAATAGACTTGCACATATCAACAACAATGTATCACTTGTGAGTGTCGACACTCCAATGTCAATCATACCTTCATCAACATCAACATCAACATCACAAATGTCACCCAACTACTATCATCAATCATCACCATCACCATCACAATCACCATCACAAACATCACAATGGATATGTCGCGCTCATCCATCAGCCGAATGTATAACATATTGTGCAGATTGTAGCGCAGCGATCTGTCAACATTGCATCACGATACACTCGCGACATCGATTCGTGTCGCTGGACGACCCCTCTTTGAACAGCGCCAAGCACCGTCGTCTGCAGCTGCCGCTGTACGGCAGCGAGGAGCATGCCAAGCTGCTGCTGGCCAAGTCCTTCTTCGAGCTGAAGGAGTATCTGCGCTGCGCCGACGTACTCACGATGAGCAAGTGCTGCACGTCGTCCGTCTCCAGGTTCCTGCGCATCTATTCACTGTATCTGGCGTATGAGAAGCGCTCACAGGAGGAAAGCATCGTGGCCAGCGCGCAAGATCCAGCACAGGCAGCCGCCGCGTCGACGGGCGCGTTTGGCGCCGACCCCAGCACCACCAGCGACTTGAAGCCTGCGTCCCAGGGCGACGCCAACTCTCCGACCTCTCACTTTAAGACGGTGAGCAAGGAGATGCAACAGCTTGCGCAGCAGCTCGAGCAGTGGCTGGGCGAGTACGTGGACATTGAGCAGCAAGACCCCTTCCTTTTGTACATATACGCGGCGATCCTCAAGCAAAAGAACGACGTGGCGGGTGCCAAGTCTGCGCTGGTGCGCTCCGTCACTCACTACCCGTGCAACTGGTCGGCCTGGCTCGACCTGGCATCACTCTGCAATGACATCCACTCAGTGTCCCAGCTCATCCTTCCCGATCACTTCATGAAGGAGTTCTTCTTTGCGCACGTCACTCAAGAGCTTCATCAAAACAAAGAGTCACTCCAAATGTACGCTGCACTCTCCAAGACATTCCCCAGGTCCAACTACATCCTTGCTCAGACTGCCATTGGAAATTACAATATTAGAGGTATGTTTGATTACATTTGATCGACACTTGGAACCATTCAACCGACTCATACACACACTAACACCATCATCAACATCATCCAGCATATGACATTGGCGAGGAATTGTTTGGACAACTGTTGGAACGCGAGCCACATAGATTAGAAAGCATTGATATATACAGTAATATACTTTATGTACATAACAACAAATCAAAGCTAAGTGTGTTGGCACATAGGGCAATGGCCACTGAGAAGTATTGCCCAGAGACATGTTGTATCATTGGCAATTACTACAGTCTGCGACTTGAGCATGAGAAGGCCATCCTCTACTTCCAACGTGCACTCAAACTTAATGACAAGTACTTGGCGGGTAAGTCCATCCACACTCTGGAATCATTCCATCAATCAATCAATCATTCACTCACTCAATCACTCAATCATTAATAGCTTGGACACTGATTGGACATGAATACTTGGAGATAAAGAATGTTGGCGCAGCGATCAATGCATATAGACGTGCTGTGGACATCAATCCAAAGGAGTACCGTGCTTGGTATGGACTGGGCCAGACGTACCAACTGCTGAAACAACCTTTGTACTCGCTGTTCTACTTCCAAAAGGCAACGTCACTGAGGCCGTATGATCCAAGGATGTGGTGCTCCGTCGCCGGCTGCTACGAGATTCTTGAACGCATCCCCGACGCCATTCGCTGTTATGAACGTGCCGAGGACAACTTTGATCGTGAGCGAGTGGCCTTATCAAAGTTGGCCAAGCTCTACCAGGACATGCAAAGGTATGAAGAGGCGGCACACTACTATCGCAAGAATCTACATCATCGCGACGCTGAGAAGATCGATGGCCAAGAGACAATCGACGCGCTACTCTTCCTGGCCAACTACCACAAGAACATTGGTGAGCTTGATCAAGCCGAGAAGTATTGTCTCAGACTATTGGACTATGCTGGACCAGAGAAAGAAGAGGCCAAAGCTTTGCTGCGTGATGTACATTCTTGCAATAAACAGTAACCATATCAACTCCGGCCATTATCCATGTGTGATTGATTGATTATTTGTTTGATTGTAATAATTATATAATTATGAATAAACAAATAATATATATAATTTGATCAAAAAACTAGAGGATGGCTTTTTTGGGAAAGGTCCTTCGAGTTTTTAGATCTGTTATTGAGGTCCTTTTCGGGACCAGATTTTTTTTTTTCGTGGACAGACATGAGAGGACAAGCAACCTCACATGGTCTACAATGCTACCTCATAGCTTACTACTCCAATCAATCAATCACACACATACATACATACACATACACACAACTCAAACAACAGACTTACATTCAAAATGAATACCAGATCACTTTTGTTGGTGATCGCTCTTGCCATTGCAATCTTGGCAACTTTGACGACTTCCCAACTACAACAAGGTAAAACTACATCCACCACTAAAGAGGAGTTTGTAGCAAAGATCGATAAATACCTTGACCAGGAGGGTTTGTTTGGTTCTCATGCCATCCACTTGGAAGCAGAGGAATTGTTCCGTGGCGCATTGAAGCGCATCCGTGAGAGATTGGTCAGCCCACCTCCTCTTCCACTTCCACATCCACTGCCAACCGACTTTGTGCCACCCATTTACAATCAGACTGTTATCGACGCCTTTGCCAGCAAGACCCTGCTCAACCCACCCGTGAACCTCACCTACAACCCATACTCGATCGCCGGCTTCAACACAACTCAGAACGACTCTGTGTGCGCAGTATACTATCCAGACGAGAGCGATCGCTCCACCTACTACCTTGTCAACTTTACCTCTGCTGCCGAGGCCGAGGCCAACGGTGCCTTTGTCACACATCTCCACACATGTGGCCTGTGCTCCACCACCAAGGACCTGTCGTCCTACATGCAGTACATGGACCTGACCAGTCCGATCCGTGACTGCGCCATCGTCACATTCGTCTCCAACGAAGAGTCGCTCGAGTGTATGATGCACTCTGTTGGCTTCACTTACGACTGTGCCGTCATCTGGCTTTACGACGCACTCAACACTCGTGCCGACTGCAAGGACATCTGTATCTACGACTACATTATGCACACGCCAAACAACCTTCCACCCAACTCGACCAATCTCAACCCATGTCTTCAATGTGATGAGGACAAGAGTGGACCAGTGTTCAAGGCAGTGGCTGGCCGTACTCGTCGTGACAGTGGATTGAGAAGTGCCATCAACAGACCACCAAGTTCAATCTACAACATCACTCATTATTACTACTGATCAATCATTCGATCAATCGATCACTCGCGATACTAGTTCCAGCAATCAATCAATTTGATTGTATGAATAAACTTGTATTCCCTCCCTCCCCTCCAGTATCCATTAAGTGTTTCCGTGTGTTTCCATGTGTTTCCAACTGGAAACAAACAAAACAAAAAGGTTAAGTTTATGTGAGTCTGTGTTATGTGATTGGTCCATTCATGTGATTGCTTGATTGTTGCTATTGTTGTTGCGATGATGATGTGGCCGGTGAGTTGGGCACAGCTGGCGCATAAGAGTTGAGAGATATTGGAATGGGAGGTGGTGTCGATGGTGTGTTTACAATGTTGTTGTTGGCGGTCGTAGTAGGGGCTGGTGTTGTTTGTTTCTTCTTGCCAAATATTCCGCCCCATAGACCAGTGGACTCGCTGTTGGCGGCAGCAACAGCGGGTGCCTTGTTTGCGCTGTGTGTTGGAGGTGTCGATGGTGAGCCAGTAGTGCTGGAGGACATGGATGGTGAGCCATTGTGCGCTGATGACGTCGTCAGTGATGACGAAGACTTTGGCGTCGAATATGTAGGCGCACTTGTGCTAGAGCCGCCCATTAACTTGACCGGTGTCTGTTCGGACGCGATGGGAGTGGTAGTGTTGCCTGATGAGGATGTGCCTCCTCTGATTGGTCGTACAATCCTCGCGCCAGACTCTGGTGCGGACTTCTTGTGCTCGGTGCTCATCGTCTTGTACCTGAGCAGCTCTACACTCTGCTTGTTCAGTTGCGCCTGTGTCTCTTGCAAAGCGTTCTCCAAACTGAGAATGTGCTCGGTCTTGAGCGACATCTGCTTGCTAGCACGCTGTGCGTCCAGCCTCAGCTTGCTGATCTCGATCGACAGTTGTTGCTTGATCGAAGTCATCTCGTCCAGCTTGGACTGCACCGAGTTGGCATCCTGGTCGTCGGCGTTCATCTTGGCTGCACGCTTCAGACGCTCGGACAGCGTGGCGTTCCTGTCCTTGAACTCGGCCAGCAAAAAGTCATAGTCGATCACCTGCTGGCAGCGCGCCTCCAGGTCGCTGAGCAGGGCCTCCTTCATCACACCAAAAGCCTTCAGCTTCTGGCTCGTCTGCTCGCGTATAGTGTTCAGATCCTCCTCCATTCTCGCCTTCATCTCCTGCTCGATACTGCTCGTCTTGGCATTTAGTCTCTTGTTCTCGCTTCTCAAGTTCTCCAGCGCGGCCTTCATGTCGCCATTCTCGTTCAGCAACTTCTTCATCTGTTCGGCCTGCAGCATAACCTCTGAGGGTGTCTCCTCCATCGATGCACTGTTGGTCGTCTCTGATTGGTCCAGGTTCTCAGAAGCATTCTCTGGTTTGTCGCTCTCCTGTTTAGCAGAGGCGTGTTCCTCTGTTGATTGTCTGACAGCCACAGCTGTGGCTGCTGCAGCAGCGGCTGTTGCCGCTTCGAGTTGCGCCTTGAGGGACTCAACAGTCGACTCCAAGTCGGTAATCTTATCCTTCATGCCGTTGTTCTCCTCTTGGAGTGCGAGGTTGACTGCTGGAGCTGAAAGACTGCCACGTGGCGAAGCTGGTGTGCCAGCCGACAGCTTTGTTCGCTGCAACATCTTGATCTGAGCTTCCATCTCTGTCCACTCCTCATTGTGTTTGGTCACGGACAATGATGCGTCCTCCACTGTCATTGGACTTGATGTTACCACCGTGCTACTCTGGCCCTTAGCTGCCTCTTCCAACTGTGCTTTCAGCGTTGTGTTCTCCGTGGTCAACTCTTCAATCAACAACGACTGTTCAGTCGCGTCATAGTTCACCTGCTCCAACTGTATCTTCATCTCTGATAGCTGTCCCAACAAGAAATCGCTCTCCTATTAAGTTTGTAAAGTTGGTTAGTAAGTTGAGTTGTGCTGGACTGTCTGGCAGACTGGCTGGGCTGATCCCGCCCAGGTGACTAACATACATTAACAAACTGTGATGTCCTTGCTGACTCTTCTTTGAGTGTGGCGATATGATGGATGTGTGTTTCCAACTCTTGTTCCTTGTCTTTGAGTTGGATTATTTGTGAGTCGAGTTGCTCTGCCAACTCCTTCTTCTCCTCCTCCTTCTGGAACAACTGTTTCTCCAACGCAATGCACTTCTCCTTCAATGTCTGCAGGTCTCCACTATCACCAGAGCCTGCACTTCCACTTGCTCCAGGCCTCGACGAGGCAACGCCAGAGACTGACTCGATCTCCTTGATGTAGACCTTGAGACTCTCGATCTCCTTCTCGGCCTTGGACAGCAGGATTTTGAGTTCGGCAGCACTGCGCTCCTGATTGATCTTGGCCTTGTTCTTGATGTTCTTGGCACGACTACCAAAGCGCAGTGTTGAGATGGTCTCCACCTCGTTGTAGCTGCTGGGCGAGCAGTTTATAATGAGTGTTGTTCGCGAGTTACCACCGAGTGACTCTTGCAACACTCTGGTGAGCTTGGAATCACGATAGGGGATATGTGCCGACTTGCCATCTGTTAGAGCATTGATCACATTGCCCAGTGATGACAATGACTTGTTGATCATCTTTGCTTCGTCCAATGTCAGACCCTGTGCGCCGGTCTTGGCCACCTTCTCTGAGCCTGCCAAATCCACCAAGTACAGCTTGCCATTCTTCAACGATCCCTCCTTCAAGTTCTTCTGTTGAATCGACAAGATGAATATGCTGTGACTTCTAGATGACTCGGCGTTCATGTCTTAGGGTGGATGTGTCAGTCCAGGTCACGTGATTGTCCGCTCATTCAATCAATCAAACATACTTGTTGAGGCAATGGCACGGTTGGCCTGACCTGTTCTCATGACTTCGAGGATGTCGTCTTCGCGATAGATGTAGACCTCGGTGGTGCCCTCGACCCAGACACCCTTGGCCTTCTCCTCGCGCACTTTGAGATTGTCCTTGCGAATGTCGAGCAAGTCGCGAATCTTCTCCATGTAGATCTCGATGTAGGATGCCTTGACAATGAACTCAATGTTCTCATCGGCCTTCTTGATACAATCGAATACAGTGTTGATCATACGAGGGATCACACCCTTGAGCTCTGGATCGTCAATCGATGGACCTTGCATGGTATGTGTCTTACCAGACGATGTCTGGCCATACACAAATATCGTTCCATTATAACCCTGCATGATATCCTCAATGACAGGCTTGGCAGCATCGTCATATACATCCTTCTGTGAGTTCTTCTCTGTATATATCCTATCGAATGTGAATGAATGATTGGCTCCTTCATTGCCCTAAGAGTTGTGATTGATTGATCGATTGTTTGGGTTGGGGTCGAGGGTGAGGGCGAGGGTTAGGGTTGGGGTCGAGGGTCCATGGATGGGATCACTTACCTTTATGTTTACAGTTAGACCATCATTAACTTCGACGATTGAGCAACCTCCTTGAGCCAACTCAATCTTATTCTGTGGCCTGAACCTACAAACCACACGAATTGAAGACATCTTCTATCTCTCTCTCTAATCTTGGTATTAATTATTTGATTGATTGATTGATTAATAATGAATGAGTGAGTGTAGTATGTACAACAAGGTCTTAAATGAATAATCAAAGTCTTATTCTTTTGATCAGTGTTTAGATGAGGAGGACTCGTGTGTGAGGTCCACAGATATTTTTGCGTTTGCCGATTTTGATCAAACTTTTCTTTGATTGATTTTGTGTCACAACAATTATTATTTTGATTGAATGAATACAATTGTTTATTAAATAATTAATAATTATGGAAGTCCCATATATGTGATATTCCATTGGAGTAGAGTACAAGTACGTTGAATTGAGACATTTGTACAGTGACTATGTCGGTGGAGGGTGGACTCCAGAGCTCTCCAATGGCCTTGTTTAAATTCCTTGGATCCCAGTAGGAGATACAGGTCGATGTGGCGCAGACTAGTCGGCGCGGCGCAACATCGAATGCACTCACAGGGGAATCGGTGTGCAAACGCTTCATGGCGTTGGGTCCTGTTCGGGTATCATACAGGCGTAGAGTGTTGTCGGCGGCACTGCTAATGGCCAGGTGCTCGTCGTTGAGCAGGCCACAGCATAGCACAGCCTGGTCGTGTGGCGTCAGTGCCATTGTCTGGCGTCCGGTGTGGCAGTCGACCAGGTCCAGCACGCCCGTCGCGTCACCAGCCAACAGATTGTTGAACTTGAGGTTGGTGCAGGTGACTCGCTCGTGTTTATCATAAGTAGTCAACAACTGGCATGTGTCGACATCAAAGATGTCGATCAGGTTATCGCAAACTTGTTGGTTTTGTTGTTGCTCGTCACTTGATGGTCGGTAGTGCATGGCCACGCGGTCGCCGTTGTATGAGGGGGCGGCACCAGCCACGTCCCAGAGCTGGAGGGGCACGCTGGGGTTTACAAGACTACGCTCGCTCTCTGTTTGAGTGGTCTCGACATTGTATCGATAGAGGACACGGTTGGAGAGCAGAGAGTTGAGGACATTCCTTTGATCCATCCAGAGTGAGACTGTTTGTGGCAATGCGTCGTGGTCGTCGATGATGTGCTCGTCAGTGTCCTCGTCATTGTTGTCATCGTCATCGTCCGCGTCATCGTTGCGTGCTTGATCGACCTGGGTCAGCGAGCCTCCCTTGCTGTCGCGGTCGGGACCAATCGATACAGGTCGATTGATGAAGTTCTCGTTGATAAAGTTGGACAGGTTGATCTTGTAATAGTCGCCACGATTGGTTGAGAAGAAGGCAGTGTCGTGGAAGAGGTAGGTCGATGTGATGAGATCGTCCTTGTTGTTGGGGATGAATGCCAGCATCGAGGGCGACACTCTGCAGCACAGTGTGTCATTGATGGACATTGCAGAGAATGGGCCATAATTGAATGTGGGTGTCGAGCTGCATGGATGCTCGCGCTTACACATTGTCCACAGCGCCTCCATCTTGGTCTTGAGATAGAACTTGCTCTTCCAGCTGCCGTCGTCGATCGTCTTGTGTTTGTTCTTCTTTGCGCTGGTCAAGAAGCCCACGACGTCGCTGGCGGGAGTGTTATCCATTGGGTCCTCTGGCTGTCTCAGGAGAGTCTTGGCGCTGAACCGGCTCCAAATGTTCTCGTTGTGGGGCAGCTGGGCATCAAGCGGACAATCCTTGTGACAACACTTGCCAAAGGACTTGACGTAGAGGCTGTACCAGAGGCCATCATTCTCAGCTGCCTGTTTAAGTTGCTTGCACACGCTGGCCAGGCGGCTCAGGTCAGCACAGGACACGTACGAGATGATGAGGTAGAGCAGCTCAGTGGGCAGGCTCATCATGTTTGAGTGGTCGGGTGGGGTCTCCATGCTCTGAAGGCTCTGGCCCACGAATGGCAATGCACTGGGCAGCCACGGTGGTAGGAGGACGGACTTGGAGGCGGTTGATGAGTCTGGCGTGAATGCCTTTGGTTCAACCGAAGCCGCCCTTTGCTTCTTCTTGATCTTGGACTCTTCGTCACTGTCCTCATCGTCATAGTCTTGGTCTTTTCGATGCTTCCTCTGTGAAGCCTCGGCGTCGAGTGTGATCGGCGATAGGTTCATCTTCTCATCCAGGGAAATCTTTGACAGAGCTTCCAGGGCCTCCATCTCTACGGTCCAATCTTTCTCCAATCGCTTGTTTACATTGCCATAGACATGAACAAAAAAGTCAGTGAGCTTGAATGACTCCGGGTGAATGCCTGGGTCGACTCCAACACCAGCCTGTCTGTTGGGGTTTAGACCGACCTCGCCTTGATTGGTCATCTGGATCTGCTTGATTGAGCCACCGCGTTGCTGCGCCTCGTCCATTGGCCACCACTGACAGTCGCCCAGCTTGTTGTACCAGTTCTCTGGCGAGATCAGGAAGTACCAATCGACCTTGGTCGTCGGGTTCAGTGTGTCGTCCGACGATGAAGTGAGGATGAACAGCACAATGTCTCCAGTGTCACGTTCCTCCAAATAGTAGTACTTGTTGTCCATGAATCCAATGTGAAAGATTGATTGAATGCGATAGGTGGGCACCAGTGGCAGGCGATGACCCATGAGATCGCGCGGTGCATTTGGGCCGCCTCCCACGAGGATCGTGCCCTTGAGCACGTGTTCATACGAGTGGATCAGTGGGTCCCAACGCAGATGCTTTGCCAGCAGCAGATTACTCATCTTGTACAAGCTGTATGACACATTGAACGTAGCCTTGAACATCAGCTTGTCCTTGCAACTGTGGAAATGTCCAAACTGAATGCGCATGTTGTCAAATGGTTGCACGAGCGTGCTGAGTCGGTAGTCCTTCTCGTGCAGCAAGACGTGGTGCACCCATTGGTCGGGCACATTGGAGAAGGTGAGTCGCACCCTCGCCTGCTCACTCGAAGCTTGTGGCGTGCCACTGTCTGGTGGCGTGGTTTGCTCGCTGCCAGCCTGATCTACGAATGGTGATGGGATCGGAGCCATATCCTTTTGAATGAAGTAGTTTGTTCCTCGATGGCCCAATGGCTTGTCGACGCGGTCCCCGCTCTCCTGGCCCTGCTGCAGGCGCTTGTAGTACGCCAATGTCTTCTCGCCAATGATGGCGACCTTTTCAAAACCATGGATCACGGCCACCTTGGCAATGTCCGGAGCAACATGCACTTCTGACGCCGACGATGTATCTTTGTTGAACTCAAACGACACGACGTGCGTAACCTTTGATCGCTCGCCGCCATCCAATGACTCAAAGTAGTAGGCCCACAAAGGGCAATACAACCTTACCAGGTCCGGTCGCACTGGTATGCCACTGAATGGCACCGACCTCGCGATGTTCATCATTGATCCTGGTTGGGTAGGATGTACGCCTGACACTCTATAAGTGCGTTTGGTTAGTGGGTGGAGGGTTGTTCCATGGCCAACTCGATACTTACTGCAACATAATAACCTCGCGTAACTTGGACCACATCTTGCCGCAGGTGACGACGTGCGCCATCATCACTTCGTACTTCTCGTTGAAGGGCACGCCATACTTGGCCGCCAGCTCTGGCTTGTTTGTGGTGAAGTAATGGATGTCCGAGACCTCGCCGTTGAAGCGATCCCATTCTCTGCGATTGCTCCACTTGGAGATGTAATCTGTGCACACCTTTGGCGGACAGTCGAATGTGCTGGTGACAATCAGGTTGATGGAGGTGGGCGTGTTGGTTGGCCGCACAAAGCAGTATGAGTCCTCCTTCTGCGAGAGGAACTTCCAATCGGGGCGCTTGAGCTCCGACTCTAACTTGTCAATTAGTGGCTGTGCCAGATGATTGTAAATGGCGTGCAACTCCAGCAAGTGTGCCTCATTCCATTGTCTAACATTTGGCTTTATATCATGTAGTTCTGGTAATGTTGTTTGTTGACTCTGTTGATGTAGTTGTTGTTGTTGTTGTTGTTGTAGTTGTTGAAACTTCAAATATGTATTATCCGTCATATCATCATCATCCATTCTCGTTAGTTATGTTATGTTATGTTATGTATACGCTCGTGCGTCTATGTTTGATTTGATTGTTTGATTGATTGATAGGTAGTATTTGTTTGAATGATTGATGAATGATTGATTGTATGAATGAATGAATGAATGTAGAAAGACTAAAGAAGAGGAAGAGGGAAAAAGAGAAAGAGGGAAGAGATAGAGATATAGAATGATAAAGAGAGAGAGAAAGAGAGATGGAGGTAGTTCTTCAAGGTCTACTTCTTTTGCTAAAGAATGGTGAATTGAGTAGACGTGACACAAAGACTACCAATCTAACCAGAGGTGTCATTCATTCACTGATCATTCGAGCTCTAACAACTCATCATCATCCAACCTCTAACTCAAACACCAATCCATTCATTCCAATCTTTGTTGCAGATGTGTTGTACCCCCACACTCACACACACTCACTCAGCTCAAGGTCTACTTCGATGAACATTGGACTCTCCTTGAGGAATAGCCCATGAACATTGTCCCCCAAGACACAACACAAAAACAAACAAACACAAACAACTTCAAGGTTATCAGTTTCACAATCGTGCACACCCCTTGAAGTTGTTTGATCGGCGCGAAATGTGAATTTTTAGAGTTTTGAATTAATGACATCATCATGGACGTTGGTACCTGACATGGCCCAGGGGTACCAATGTTGGGGCTGGGCTAGACCAACCTTGCCGGGCAATCCAAAACATGGTCGGACATTAATTCCCCCCAGCCTGTCTCTCGATTGAATCGAGATCTGATTGGTTGTTCATTGTTGTGTTGGGAATTCGTTTGAGTGAGAGAGGTTCCTCAACTTATTATTTTAGGATTATTGTTATTTGGTGTTTGGTTGTTGTTGTTGTTGGGAATTAATTAATTTGATTTGATTGATTGATTGAATGTAGAATATAGTATGGCATAGTAGAGTATTCTTTGACGACGACTTTGGATGTGGATCACTTTACGAACTTGATATGTTGTTGATAATTTGGTTAGTTGTTGTCGAACATACATAACATAACAAAACATATGTTTGTTTGTATAGTTGTTGACATATGTTGGCATATTATTATGTTGTTGTACGATGTTATGTCAGTCAGAACCTAATCTTAGTATCCATCGCTTGATGACATCCGATCATCCAACATTGTAACATTTCTAAATCAAGACTGTAATATGTACATCAAGGTAGGTACTTTGAGAGATCGAGAGGGTCATATGATGAGCATGATTGATCATCAAACAAATAAACATGTTTGAGTATTGTGTCTGTCTGTCTGTCTGTCTGTCTCTTTGTTTGTGTGTTCTAATTTGAACATTAACGCAACAATAGTATGTGTGTGTGTGAGTGTGTGTTAACTTCATTTGAAAGACTGATCAAGATAGAGATAGAGATAGAGATAGAGAGAAGAGAGTGTGTGTGATTGTGCGATTGATACAAACACACAACAACACAACAAACACAATGTTGACATTGCCAGGCTTGTTGTTGCTAATAATAATCATCGAATTTTAAATATCTGATGCTGTAACACTCACTCCTTGTCCGTCCACTGATGTTGTCCGTCCATACTTACTTCCTTCAACACACATACATACAATCATCAACAACCGTGTGTTCGTTAATAATAGTATCATCGTCATCATCAATCAATCAATCACCTGACACACACACAGTTCATCAACATCATCCATCCCACCACCAACTCTCACTTAACATCACCCAACACACACACACACAATCAATCAAACATTGCCATAGATGGAAGGAAGAGAAGAAAGTGAAGTGTTAGTTTGTTTGTTAAGGAGTATGTGATGATTGAGGCTAGCTAGTGTGTGTGTGATTGGATTGACGGTGTTATTACAGGTCTGCCTACAGTGGTATTGTCCACGCTTAACAGAGGACAACAATGTATGATTGAAATGAATGAATGAATGGAAGGAAGGGATGGGATCGGCGGATCCAGCACCTGACATCTCCTGCTCATACATCCATCTGCCCATCAACATCCATTGGAAACGTCAATCAATCAATAACGCACATCTCTCTCTCTTACTTCATTTCTTTCTTTCCACTCTCCACCTCCTCCTCCTCCTCCACCTCCACTTGTCAGCCATCTCCAATCTCCCATCTTCATCAAACCTGATCATTCCATTGTCCCAACATCATCAACAACTCTCTCTCTCTCACCTAACATTATTTATTATTACTTTCCAGTCTCCAGTAATCTCAATCAATCAATCAATCAATCACATTCATTGACGACCGAATCCATTCATCAACACACTCATTCAATCAATCTCAATCACATTCAATCTTAATTATTAAATCGAGCTTTAAAGATATATATATTATTTATTATTATTATTCCAGCTTTTCAATCAATCAAATTATGAAGATCAATATCAGGTGGAACAATGAAGCGATCGATCATCAATTATTGCGAGGTGTTAAACTTAGCACTCAATTGGACGTCATTTGCCAGATGCTAAAGGTTGAAGATGCACCTGAACGATACGCCCTATTCCAAAAGGATTTGAAGATATTCATATCAGACGATGTAAATATCAATTCAATCAATCAATCAATCAATCAAAATATTAATATTTATTTTTCCAACAACAATATCTCAGATACTTAATAATGATCATGATTCGACATTATTAGAGAATAGCAGGTTGGACTTGATTCTAGCACCAATATACCAAATAGACACTATTATCGAGTATCTAAACACAGAGGCGATGGTCAAGCGAGGCCTATTCGAACTCAAATCTCAATTACAAGTTAATGTAAGTATAATAATAATATTCCAAATATATTCCATGGAATATTAAAAATACCTAATTATTTTAGAACTCAATATTCCTTGGAGAGTTTATTAAAAAGGGTGGAATGAATATATTGCAAACTATTATTATGGATACCACTGGCAATACTTTATCATTCGCACTCAGTGTGTTTGAGACTGCAATTGGAAACTCTGAACATGTGATCGACTACCTCTCAATCAAGATCGTCGAGAAGATCATCTCACTATTTGACAACTCACGTAGTAATATAAGTAATCCATCCTTAAAGATTGCTGTAAGTATCCCTATCACCATCATTCAATCAATCAATCAATCAATCAATCAAATAATTAATATATTTTATTATTTTAGATGACATTGGTCAATACTTTTGAGGGAGCCAGGAAGATGTCAAGTGTGCTGTTGAGTGAGGACAGACAGGAATCAATATTCCAATCACTGATAGCCAATTTGAATAGTACTGATATGATCACTCAAGAGTACACACTCAACCTCATCAACAACCTAATCAGTCTGTCCGACAATGGTCTGATCTTCCTGGAAGAGTTTGAGAAGTACAACTTATCTCCCATCATCAAGGTAAATATATTTGATCAATCAATCAATCAATGGAATAGTTCCACTCACCCACAAATCAATCAATCAAACTCAAACAGAAGAAGATAAATACCAATGATATCCAATTGAAGAAGCAAATATATAGATTGCAGAACTTGAAGTTGCAGGAGTTCATCAAGGATTGTTCGACACAGTATTGCAAGGATGATGCTAATCATGAGAGATTGTTGGAATGTTTGTGGACGACGATGTTTGAGGATCACAAGTTCCAGAGAGTGGATGAGCGCTGGAAGGGCATTGGATTCCAAGGTAAAGACCCTTCAACAGACTTTAGAGGCATGGGTATAGCCGGACTCAAGAACCTACTCTACTACGCCACACATCATCAAGATTCCCTTCGTACCCTTATGAAGCAACAGAGTGCCCTCCAAAGCGGTGCCAGCAATGACCGTTACTATCCTGTTGCCGTCTGTGGTATCCACATCACAAGCATGTTATTAGAGTTGATAAAGCCACCACTTAGTTGTATGTTACATCATGATCGATCAGTTGGAATAGTTCCACTCACTCACACACTCAACAATCGCTCAATCACATCAGACTCAGCTCAGTTGCAACAACAACAACAACAACAACAACAAGATTATATTGCCAATGATAATATTATATCGATATTGTTTGATCATAAGAATTCATTGGAGGAGATATATTGCATCACAATGGAGATATTTGCCATGGTCTGGGAAGAAGGTGCAGCACGCTACATGGACTTTGCCAAAGTGATCAGTTACCTAAAGACACAAATATCCGACACCATATCACGCGCATCAACAATCCAAGAGTTCAAGACCAACAACTTTGTCGTAAGTACCAATATAACATGATCAATCACATCGGTCCACTCGCTCACTCATTCAATCAAAAATAGATGAAGCGACTTGTTGACTACAAGAAGATCCTGGAACCATTGAGAAAGGACTCCAAGGGCAATCCTAGACAATCATCAAGGAGTAACAACTCATTCTACGACGAGAGAAGATGTATGTATTCATCATCACGGGCAATGATCAATCAATCAATCATACTCACTGGCACACTCATTCAAGCTGTCGACTATATTCCAGCAAGGAATCAACAAGACTCGAATAGTGTACATGAGTTACTTTCAAAGTCATATTCATCAGAGGACCAGGACTTTAGTACTGATATAGGACATGTGATTGTTTCATCATCGGATGGAAACACTCCATTGCATTCATCAGTCAACTCATTGTCATATGATGCCGCCACTCAACAAGTCAATGCCAATCACTCACTAAGCAACTCACTCAATGGACAAGGAATGACACCACTCAATCTAGCCTGTCACAGTGCCAACTCAAAGATGATCGAGTTATTGCTGTCCAATGGTAGCAATGTCACTGTTCCCGCAAAGAATGGACATTGTCCCATGCACAATGTTGCTTCGAGACGCTGGCAATCTGAAGAGTTCACTAGGTTGGTCAAGTCGATGCTGGACAAGGGTGCGGACATTGATTGTCGCACAGGTGATGTCCAGGACACGCCACTCCACATAGCCGCATCCAAAGATTGTGACGAGAATGTCCGAGTACTTCTCAATCTTGGGGCCAATCCAAACATATTCAACAAGTAAGTAGTGAATAGTTAACAATGATTGATTGATGATGTATGACTAACATGTTGTTTGATTGAATAGACGTGGAGAGACACCATTACATATTGCAGTTGCCAGGAGGAACAAGGACATTGTGGAGTTGTTGACAAAGAATGGAGCCGATGTTAACTTGAACAATGTGTTGTCAGGTGATGGTTGTGATGATATAGTTGGAATGAATGTCGATGGAGATATGCTGACCGTCAGACAATCATTGAGCAAGTCCCAAGACATCATTGATCAACCATCATCCACGCCAACACCAACCCCCGTCACACCTGGAACGACCACAACACTGGCCAAGAAACCACCACCTCCAGTGCCCAAGCGCAACAACAAGGTCGATCAACAACTGATGGTCAACTCGCCTTCACACTCATTGACACCGACTCCACCAGGATCACCATTCATCACATCACCGTCGATCAAGAGTGCCCGCACGCCAATCAGACACACTAACAGTGTTATTGGCCTCCAGTTTGAGACGCCCGCATCCCCACCATCTTCGCGATCTGGCGCATCAGTCATTGTGAACTGTCCACCAGACCTCAACATAGGTGGTAGCAGTGGAGGTAGCAATGGTGGTCACTTGATGAGCTTCATCAGTCGCGCAGGCAGATCAAACTCAGGCAGCAGTGGCAATGGTAGTGGAAGTGGTAGTGGCAGTGTGAGTGCCAATGGCGGTGGATATAAGGACGGCACGGCGTCATTCAACATGAAGCATCTTGATGCAACAAAGAAGAAGCTGGCCGAGACCATGGGCATGGTTGATCAACTCTACAGCACCACCGAGTACAAACATCAGAAGGAGACAATCAAGAGGATTCTGGACAACTTCAAGAGCTGCAAGTCAAGTCTCAAGAGCCTTAAATAAACAATGAACGCGTGTTTGTGTGAGTGTACATCTTTGGAACTAACTAGTTATTTATTCTTGGTCACCTTTCTAGGCTGATCCTTACTACCTCCTCTGCCTCTCTTCTTGTTCGTTGGGAAGACATAGCCAAGTCGCTCTAGGTATTGTTTGAATATGGATTGAATGAGTGGACTGGACTTGTAAGCTCGTAGATCGGCCACACCTTTAAGTTGGCTCCAATGTCCAACATATAATGTAACATAACTACGTCGATCCTCTTGACCAAGTCAATTGTATACATTGGCAGTACCCAACATTTGATTCCAACTCTGTCCTCCTCACATACATGTTTGAGTATACAATCCAAAGTTAGCCTGGGATCCATATCCCTTCTATCATCCTCTATTATTACTTTCTTCAACGTCCGGTAGAAATCATCATGTTGAGCATCTTGATTGAGTTCGTAATATTGGATATTGAGAGGTTCCATTCCAAGTAAGGTGACTAGCAACTCCAGTTTGCCTTTGACAATTGAAAGATGATGGAATTGATCAAACCTGTCAATGACCAAAGATCGATGTTTGTTGTGTAGGTGATTAATGAGATGTGTCTGTTTCGAATCAATAGCCTCTTCAACAATTAAGACCACTCCATGCTCCAGAGAAATTCTATTCTCATCCTTGGTAGTCTGTGATGATGATGAGCTGTGTTGTTGAATAAATTCGATTGCCAGATCAGCCATCTTAATATCTCCAATTTTACCAATTCTTTGGAAGTATGAATAAAAGGTAGAGGTGTGATGATCCATGAGCCATTTGAACATAATGTAATCCGGTCTGCCAGCCATCGTTAGTTCAAACAAAAATATATCATTGTCAAGTTGTTTGAGTCCATAGATGAGTTGGACAATATCAAGTTGACCAAGCTTCACAGCAAGTTGGAGTTGACATATATGATTGATCAGTGAGGGTGACTGACCAAGAACATACTCCAAATGTTTGATATCGATGAACAAAGGTGAGAACTCAACGATCTTGTTGGAATCCGACATGAGGAACTCTAGCATTTCCATTGAACTATCGAATATCCAAGGTCTCATTGGTGTGTCAAAAATAATATTGTGTTGGTTGAGCATTATTAGCACCTCCAGTTTGAGTGAACAGTTGTGTGATGTCATGAACACAGGATATTGGGGCCCACCCAAACGAAAGTTGCGGTACTGACCAAGGTCGTTGAACCAAGATTGAAGCTCAGGTTTAGAGGCCATAAATTGAATGAGACACTTTGCTTGAGCTAATGTGCCATGCTCAACTATAGAGCTGATCAATGAAACAGAGCTATAATGTTCAATTGATGCCCATAATGGAATGAGTGCCAGATCTCCTGTAGATATATAATCATTCAATATTTGAATTATAAGTTTGTCTGCATTATCAGTCCTTGGATTAATATATAGTAGGATCTTGATAATGGCCAATCGGTACTTGTCATCAATATCCTCTTTGCTGTCATATCCAATCATTCTCTTTGTATCCTCTTTAGACTTGATGAGTGTGTCCGTGGCCTGACGTTCAGTGATGGGCCGTCGATCTATCAACTTGTATTTGAACATTTGTTCAAAGTGTGTCAAGTGCTGCTCGACAGAGGCATTGCGGGGAAGGAGTAGATTCGAGCTCAGGTTATTGCCACAACGATCATTTGACAGTTTGTTAATGTTGAGGTATGGCAACAAGTCATTGATGAACATTTGGTCTCCAGTCATGAGGATATCCGACTTGTACTTTGGAATGAGTGAGCGGGCCATCTTGGAGACTTTAGTTGGAACTACCAAGGATGAAGACATAGATGAAGTTGATGGAAGTGATGCTCCCATCACATATCTGATCAACTCTATTGATCTAGACTTGATGATACCAGAGAGAAAGTCTTTTTGATCGATTGATGAAATGAGATATTGATTCTCAAAGAGGATGTTGATCATATTGATACTCAATCGATCCGCTCTATTTTGTATGGATTTATCGATCTTTAACTTGGCCGGTTCTGTCTGATTGATCAATAGACATGCAGAAAATGC